AAACTTTCCGGGAGGCGTTAGCCCAAGTTTGTTACTCGAGCCCAAGCTGTATTATGGGCCTTAAAAGTCCATTCACTTACCACTATGGGCCTTCCCCAAACAGTTTTGATGGGCCCATAGAGTCTATTCGCTTTCCGCCTGGGTGTTTGTAATAATTCTTCAATTATATTTTATAAATTTTAAAAGTAAGCTTTTTTTCTTCTTAAATTATATTATTTATAATTTAGAGATTAATAAAAGTAATAAACTAAAATTTGTAATTATTGAGTAATCAAAGTACGGATTTAAAAATAAAATTAATAAGATTTAATGTTTTATTAATGAAACTTAAAAAATATTTTTATTCATTAATATTTATTGGGAGAAAAAAAGATGAATATATTAGAAAAAAAAAAATACTGAAGTTGAAATGTGACATCTTACCTCCTCCGTTGTAGAATGGAATGAAACATTGCTTATAAGAGTACAAAAATTTCTTTTTAACTGACATATTTTAAAACCGTGAGACTAACTGCAATAAATAACGGACCAAAACGAACAATATTTATTAGTAGTGGACATAGATGTTTACAAATGGTATTGGAATCAGACAACGAAAAGTGTATGGGCCCCATCAAAGGGAGTGAATTATTAAAAAAAAATGTAAAACTAATGACGATACATAACGAACCAAAACTTATTTCTACTAGCGGTTAACTTGGACGATGATATAAAACTTTTTAATTATAATATAATGTAATAAATTAATTAAAAAAATAATTGGACCGCCTTGGAATAAAAAATCAGCTGGCGTGTCGACATACATCAGCAGACAGAGTCGACTACTTTCCAAAATTTATATAATTTTCGTTTTTTTTCATTTTTTGGACTAAAAAAATACACATTTGTCATAACCTAATTTTTAGTCCAAAAGAATACCAAATAGTCAACCCTAAAATAGAGGGCTGCATGTTCAGCCCAGTCGTTGAAAAAGACACCTGGCTAACCTTTATTCCTTTTTTTTTAAAAAATTATAATTTAAATAATTTTAAAATTTTGCCACGTCATCGCTGACAATATCAACAATTTCCTTCCAATTTATTTGTTATTCCATATTATTATAATAATTTAAAAACACAATGGTTCTTATTATAAATGTTGCATCCTCTCATTCATTGTCACGCTACCATATTTTAAAATTAATGTAAGTCTAGTTATATATATATATATATATATATATTATTATTATTATTTTTGTTTGGAACTAAGTAATGGTTTAATAAATATTTGTTTGGAAGTCAAAATAACAAATAATTAATGCTATTGAATTTAGGAGAAACATTTTTTTTTAATTTATTAATTTTGAATGAAAATAAAAGAAAACCGTATTATTTCCAAATGGGGTTAAATAATAGTTAGTTTTGACTTTTCATCATTTTGATTTCTTTCCTTAATATTTAAAAAATGGTAATATGAATTTGAACCAATCTACATTTTGTCAAAATATTTATGAAAAATTATAATTTAAAATTTTCAATAAATAAAAAATAAAATTAAGACTAATAAAAAAATTTGGGCGTGAGAAATTCAAAAAAAAAAAAAAACTGAAAATTTTGTCTTATTAAATTCCATTAGTAACAAAAGACAAAAATGACGAGGGTAATAAATGAGGCTAAGCCACTGGAGCTGTGAAATTGGGCCTGATAAATGGGCCGTTCATTTTATAGATTTGGGCCAGAGGCCCACAAGATTTCCCAATCACGGGAATATTGCCTGCTTTGCCTAAACTTTTAGCGCACTTTTCAACAATCACCGATTCAGCAGCACGGACCATAGATTTATCACCTTAATACCACCGGCAGCTCCGGTTTCCTGTCTCCATTTCTTTTGGATTTAAACCCCACGCCCCCCACTAACAAACCATATTCAGCGCTCGCCCAATTCACTCTTCTCTCTAGAATCTTCTTACCATTCTCTTTACTTTTTCACCAAGCCAATGGGTAAAAGTCCCTGTTCTTTCTATTTTCTTTGAATATTGGATTTGTGGAAAATTTCTGTCGATGTTTGGTTTGGATCGTCGATCGTATTTGCTATCGTTACTGATTGTGTTTTTTTTTTTTTTTTTTTTTTTTTTTTTTTTTTTTTTTTTTTTTTTTTTTTTTTTTTTTTTTTTTTTTTTTTTTTTTTTTGAATTTTTGTATTTGGTTCNGCGTTGATTTGCAGCCAAGATCAAGATCGGAATCAACGGTATTTTCAGCTCTATTGATTTAGTTAGAACTTGTTTGAGATGATTTTCTGGTGTGTATCTGATTAATATTCTTTCATTTTTTGCGTCTGTTTTGTTGTGGAAATGAAAATCAGGATTCGGAAGAATCGGTCGGTTGGTCGCTAGAGTTGCTTTACAGAGAGACGATGTGGAACTCGTTGCCATTAACGATCCATTCATCACAACTGATTACATGGTATCGTTAGTCTTTTCAGTCTCAGGGTTTCTTTTTGTTCTTTGTTCCTTGATCGGTCGAGGGACGATGGTGAATTTGTTGTATGAGCTGCTCTCGTTATTATTTTAGTGGTTTTTGAGTGTTATTCTTTTTGTTTGGTGGAATAGACCTACATGTTCAAGTACGACAGTGTTCATGGTCACTGGAAACATAGCGACGTGAAGGTTAAGGACTCTACGACCCTTCTTTTTGGTGACAAAGCCGTCTCCGTTTTTGGCGTCAGGTATGTAATTTTTCCACTTTCCGAGGGCTAATTAATTCGGTGTGAGAGTTCTTTTCCAATCGATTTAATATTGGATAAATCATGATTTTAGAAATCCGGAGGAGATCCCATGGGGTCAGGCCGGAGCCGAATACATTGTAGAATCCACTGGTGTTTTCACCGACAAAGAGAAAGCTGCTGCTCATTTGAAGGTTTGCCTTTCCTGTGTCCTGTTCCCCCTCTGTTAATATTATGTTAGACTTGTTTTTCCAATTATAATGTTTTTTTTTTTGGAAGCATTCCACCCTGTAATCTCATTATCAGACATTAAGTCTGTCTAGTAAAGACTGATTTCTTCTGTTGCACTTCAATTGATGTTAATTTTGGAAATTTAGTTATAGGATTTCTTGTAGGTTAAGTTTTATCATGTTTTAATGCTTATTAATGTTTCGACAGTGTCTTTTAAGATTTTGGGTCTAGCAATAGGGTTATTACATAAAGAAAAGCTTCAATATTGGCATATATCAAGCCTATATTTTTTCATCTTAGCTGATCTTTATGTTTTAATGGCTGATGCAGGGTGGTGCTAAGAAGGTTATCATCTCTGCCCCCAGCAAGGACGCCCCCATGTTTGTTGTAGGAGTCAATGAGAAGGAATACAAGCCAGAACTTAACATTATTTCCAATGCTAGCTGCACCACCAACTGCCTTGCCCCTCTTGCTAAGGTTTCTACTTGCACGATTGTTGATTCTGTTGTAATTCCTCGTTATTGATTGCCTTAACACTCCATTTTATTTTACCAATATTGTAGGTTATCAATGACAGATTTGGCATTGTTGAGGGTTTGATGACCACTGTTCACTCAATCACTGGTGGGTCATTGGATTATCTAGTCTATTTCTATGAAGGGGGTTCCTCCAATATACTTTTGGTGGTTTTTAATCTATTGCGCTTGTTTTCAGCCACACAAAAAACTGTCGATGGGCCATCAAGCAAAGACTGGAGAGGTGGAAGAGCAGCTTCATTTAACATCATTCCTAGCAGCACTGGAGCTGCCAAGGTATTGAAATTTACACTGATGCATGTTTTTTGATGATAGTCTTGCCTCTGATTGCTTTTAGCACAACTAAGGTCGTCCATTCTGTCGTTATTTAGGCCGTTGGCAAAGTCCTCCCTGCATTGAATGGAAAATTGACCGGAATGTCTTTCCGTGTTCCTACCGTCGATGTCTCTGTTGTCGATCTTACAGTGAGGTTGGAAAAGAAGGCCTCTTATGAGGATATTAAGGCAGCCATCAAGTAAGGATAGAGTGTTCTTTTCTCAATTACTTAAATTTGAGTTCTACCTGCTAATAACCGTATTATTCAACCTCTTGGGATATGATTAAATGATTGAAAATCCGTTTTTTGTGGTTCTTAGGGAAGAGGCTGAGGGAAAATTGAAGGGAGTTTTGGGATACACTGAAGATGATGTCGTGTCCTCCGACTTCGTTGGTGACTCCAGGTCTGCCTTCTCATCCTCAACTGTTCTGATTTCTTCTATATGACCATCCTATCCATTAAAAGAAACAATTCATTGTATCTGATGTTACTCATTCAACTATTACAGGTCAAGCATCTTCGATGCTAAGGCCGGGATTGCACTGAACGACAACTTTGTGAAGCTCGTCTCGTGGTACGACAACGAAGTAGGATACAGGTACAATTTTGAACCCAATCGTCCTCATTTCTGACATGTACCACCTTTTATTCCTACGACATTTTTTAGTAATGCATCAACTTTTGTTTGTTTTGACAGTACTCGTGTCGTTGACTTGATTGTCCATGTCGCTGGTGTCCAGTAAGAAGGGTTTTAGCTTCCATGGTTTGTTCTTGTTCCAGTACTACAGAGGCTCAGCTATGAGCGAGAAAAAGTTGAATAAAACAGAGTTTTCAAGCCGCCGGTTATTTCTTTCAAGTTCTTAAGTTGTATTGTCTTGTCTTGTCCTTTTTTGTTGAGACGATTGTGTGGATTTCCACCCACTAGTATGCTTATTTGTAATGCTTTTGAGTAGCAAAAACTCCCAACTCGAAATAGATTTGGTTTTTCCAACCTACCATCTTTGTTGCTTCTAAAGCTTGGTCTTTTACGTTCCATCTATTTCTCTAATGGGACTGTTGATGAAACTTGGCTAAATTATAAAAAAATATCCCTACCAGGAGTAGAAATTGGAGTAGGGATGTGAAATTAGTAGAAGCTCGGACCAATTTTAAGACAAATATCCTTGGCATTGCTAGTACTTAGAAACTTATAAAGGAAAATTGTGGGAAATACAGAGCCACCACATCACCGTCGCCGTCCCTACCAAATCTCAGGCCTGCAACTATTCCTGGAGGGGCGTCACGCCCCTTCGAATCTCAAACACTACGCTAAACTACAGCCATGCATTTCACAATGGACATTGGCCCACCACTTTCAACCCAAAAGACTGTTGATGGACCATCTAGCAAAGACTGGAGAGGTGGAAGAGCTGCTTCATTCAACATCATCCCTAGCAGTACTGGAGCTGCTAAGGTATTGATCACTGATGAGCTCTACAGCTGACTGATGTTTCGAGTATCTACTTTCTTGGCTTATCTAAGCTCTGATTTGACCATTGTGTTCGTTTAGGCTGTCGTCAAGTTCTCCCTGCATTGAATGGAAAACTGACCGGTATGGCTTTTCGTGTTCCTACCGTTGATGTCTCGGTAGTTGACCTTACAGTGAGGTTGGAGAAGGCAGCATCTTATGAAGATATTAAAGCTGCTATCAAGTAAGGATATAGTTTGCTTCATTCTTACATGTCAGTTAGAGGGGAACAAACATTCCTTATAAGGGTGTGGAAACCTCTCCTTAGTAAGTGTGTTTTAAACCGTAAGGCTGATGGCGATACTGAAATGAACGATTAGTTTTTGAGAAGGGTTATTACATGCTTGGTCTTTTTTGTTTGAAGAGAAGTGTTATCTTCTTTTTGATTCATTTTCTTTGTTGGTTACCAGGGAGGAGTCTGAGGGAAAGTTAAAAGGAATTCTGGGTTACACCGAAGACGAGGTGGTGTCCACTGATTTTATGGGTGACAACAGGTACGGTTTCTACTCACGAACGTACATGAACAAGATCTCTTACGGTCGTCGTACAATTGTATCCTTGAGATTTAAGGAGACGAGATTCGTTAAGAACTCGATCGCTATATTACATAAAAACAAAGTCTATTATTTCTAAGACAAGTTACTCCGCAATCGGACCAGGTCAAGTATTTTCGACGCCAAGGCCGGGATTGCACTGAACAAAAACTACGTGAAGCTCGTGTCGTGGTACGACAACGAGTTAGGCTACAGGTACAAACAAATCCAAAGGCTTTGCATTACTGCAGTAATCCTCCAGTTGCCGCTTTACCTTTCATTTTCAGCAGTTATTATGAAATAAAAAGAGCCCTTCTGTTCTTCCTCCTCAGTGAAGATATCTATGTTTTCTGTGATGTTTCCTCAATGATTATTATTATTATTATGTTTGGATTTTCTGGAGTTAATTAATATATCCATTTTATGTTATTAGTTAATTTATTCTTCTTTAAAAAAAATAGGAAAATAATTTTTAAATAGTAAAATTAAAATCAAAGAAAAAAGAGTGTATTTTACCATTTTTAATTTGAAAAAAAAAAAGATTTTACAAATAAACTTAGCAAATTGCATTAAACTTTGGTAACAAATATTGCAATATTTATTATGATGGTTAGTTAATTAATATTCACATGGAAGTTGAAAAAGAAAAGTTAATTATTTAATTATTTATATTTATATTAGTGATTTTTTATTTTTAAAAAATAAACCATGGTTGAATTAGTGAGGAAAGGAAAGAAAAAAAAGGAAAAACAATAATTATATATCCCGAATTTAAAAGATTTGGGGAAGTTTGGGTAAAAATTCAACTGTTTCCTTTTAATAACATTCACGCGCCACCATGGACCATACGACAGAGCAGAGCTACCACATTTAAATTTCATATAATTTCGATCTCTCCGCCAAATCACGGCACTGAGCTCTTCTCTCTCTCTCTCGAAGCATTTTGTTTCCTCAACAAAGAGACCTCCAATGGAGTTCTCTTTGACTGCTTGAAATGGCGGAGTTCTAGATTTCAAAATCTTCAACTGTTTGTTTGATTCGGATTAGAAATGGCGTCGTCTGCTTTCAAATCGACGACCAAACGGACGCCGATCGGAGCATCGGTTGCTTCAAATGATGACTCCGCTTCCACCAATCGGAGCTCGATTCACCGCCGCTCTCGAAGTTTGAGCCGATTTTCCCACCCTCTGCCATCGTCTCCCGCCGATAAGGGATTCGACGAGGGTTCAGATCGGCAAGGTAGGTTTGTAAACACGTCGTCGAGAGGCTCGGGATTCCCTGAGATCAGTCTCGATGACTTAGCGGTTGAATTCTTCGGTTCTGGTGATCGAGGGCGGTCCGCTGCGCGGAGCTCCGAGTCGAGTGGTGCTACGAATGCTGCCGTGGCGTCGAATAGACGAGGGAGGTCAGTGTCGAGACACAGTTGTGCTAAAGGTAGTGGCGGTAGTAACGAGGGCAAAGGAAGAGCCAGTTATAGCGTTGGAGGGGGGAAAGTGGTTCCTGAAAGTAATTCGAGAAGACGGCGCTCTCTCTCGGTGGTTCGCTACCAGATTAGCGATTCGGAGGTGAATAATCCATTCCATTTTCTCTGGTTCGGTTCTGGTTTGAATAATTTCTTACTTGGAAAATAGGACGAATATCTATTCCTATAGAAGGTTCATCTTAGCTAATTATAAATGATTTTCAATTTGGAATGTGGCAATTAGATGTTGATAGTTGTGTGTTTTGGTGGAAATAATGGGAAATTGGCTCAGGAATTCTTGTACTAACCCCATAATAATTTTCCAACACAGAGTGATATTGATCGATCTCAGAATTCTGGAATTCGTGTCAAAGAAAAGAGCTATGGTATAGGAAATAAGCAGAAGCCAATATCCCATAAGGCTGATGATTCAAACCGTAGACCATCATTGCAAAGATCTCTTAGCCAGAATGATTTTAAGTGCCATGATGGCTATTCAGTAAGCTCTTCCCCCTTTTAATTACCGTTTATTGTATTCACTTGCTGCTGGGGATGGGGAGGAGGATTTGCATTACGTTGTTTCCACCCTTTTATGACCAATTCTTATTACAGAGCCAGTCTTCAGTTCTAACTGATGATGAAGGGAAGGATACATACTTCGGTAATGGTGTAATGGAGGAGACTATTCGATCAATTTATGCAAGAAAGGTCCATTTCTCTGTAATATATGAAAGTTATACGCACCAAAATTGAGACATTTCCATCCATTACATATCTCTGGGTTTATGTCATATCTTTCAGGCAAAGCAGCCCAATGGGGATGTTGTTGACAAAGGTGGCTTGTATGAAGCAATGCGGAAAGAACTTAGACATGCTGTGGAAGAGATAAGGGTGGAACTTGAGCAGGTGCGTGAGATCCTTCTACGTGGTTCTAGTTCTACTCTTCATTAGTAAATAAATGTTATTTTGAACTAAGTTATCGTAATAATTTATCTAGAGTTCATCACAATTCTTTTCGAATAACACAGGAAATGGTGAACAGAAATTCGTCTGTTGTAACTTTCAGTGATGATTTGCATTCAAGTAATTCTGGTATTTGTCAGCATACGTCTCCATTTACTAGAAATTATTCAACAAAACAAGAACAGGTAAGGATACATGTGTTTTCTTGTGATTCATCTTTGATGTTTTCTATAACTAAGCCAGTATCAGATCTGCCCTGATATCAGTTGGAAATTTCTATTGAGTTTTGGTTTTTATGGATGGTCATCTACTTTTACTTTCTCTTCCACATATTTATCAGTATCTTTTCTTCTTTGGCATTCTATTATAAGATCTTATATCCATTAAGTGATTCATTACATGTTCTGGTGGTGACTGAAAAATGTATGTATGCAATGACAGTCCGGGAAGCGCAGAGATTCATCGGGTAAGATGGTGACAGAGGAGCAACGTGGTCAAGAACGTCCAAAGATGGTTAAAAATTTGCCTCCTGATCTGAAAAATGCTGTTGCAGAGAACCCTTCACGAACCAGAAAGGTGCGTGATTCTTGTATTGACTTTGACAAAATACATAGCCAAGATATCTTAATAGACTGTTCTCATCTAGGACCATCGTTGCAAAGAACTTAGAACACTTGCAGCACGTTTTACAATTTTAACTGTAATTTGGATAATTTCCACTATTCATCTACTTCCGCCTGAAACTAAAGTCCTCTAATAAAGAACTTTCAATCTCCTACGTCACTTACTTCCTCCTTAAACTGGAACCTTGTCCCACCGACAATAACATTTAACCTCCTTAGACGAGTTTGAGTATGTGAGATCCCACATTGATTGGAGAGGAGAACGAAGCATTCTTTATAAGGGTGTGGAATCCTCTCTCTATCATACGGGTTTTAAAAACCTTGAGGGAAAGTCCGAAGGGGAAAGCCCGAAGAGGATAATATCTGCTAACGGTGGACTTGGGTCGTTACAAATGGTATCAGAGCATTGTGAGATCCCATGTTGATTGGAGAGAGGAATGAGTGCTAGCAATGACGCTAGCCCCTGAAGGGGGTGGATTTTTGAGATCCTACATCAAATGGGGAGGATAATGAAGCATTCTTCATAAGGGTGTGAAAACCTCTTTCTAGCAAACGCATTAAAAACCTTGAGGGGAAACTTGAAAGGAAAAACCCAAAGAAAATAATATCTGCTAGCAGTAGGCTTGGTTCGTTATAGAGTATCTTCTTTGTTTGTAATGTTGATGATTATTTCTGTATCTATCTTTCAGAGGAGCAAGGATAGAAGTAGGATGTCAAAACGATTGAGTGAGGAGGCAGAAAAATACATTGAGGACTTCATTTCCAATGTCGAAGATACCGACATTTCATCTCTTGATGGCGATAGGAGCGACGCTAGTTCATCTTTAAGGGGGAAAGAAAAACCAAATTTCAAAATTCAAGCAGCCAGCAAACATATTCCTCCTGGAATGGATGGTGTCCTATTTCCATGGTTGCAATGGGAGACCGATAATGATGCCACTCCTTATCCTCGAAAGAGTATGATCGAACCACCTACGACTCCGCAAACTTTTCCAAGGGATGTTAATCAGGTAACATCTAATCCACAAGCCATCTAAAAGAGCTAATCTGATTTTACTGTCAAGCCATTCCTTACCTCTCTAGCCTTTGGCGTCTTAGGATACAAGCAATGCACAAGATCTATGTAACCAATCTGCTAGCAGCCAAGGGAGTTGGAGCCCTGGAGTTAACATTAGCCTTTCTGGGAAAGCTGTTAAAGATATAGAAAGTAGATTCAAAAGACTTGGTAATTATCAAAATCAGTCCTATTTGGAATCAAGAGAATCTCGGTTCGATATGGATGAATATTTAAAGCGTCCAAGCAATGAAGATTTTCTCCTAGAAAGATGGAAGCAGCAGCACAGAACCAACTGCAGTGGTCTATTGCTTTGCCATCGTGTATTCTTATAGGTATTTTCTTCTCTTATCACACATTTTTACTCTTCTCTCATCCTCTATTCTTTCTGTCTCTTGAGTTGATGGGTTGTAATTTGTAAATTATAATTCTGTGGTAGGATAGTTTAGTCTTTTCAATTGGATACTTATCCATGATAAACAAGTAGGGTTAAGTAGTTGTCGGGTGAGTTATCCATGATAAACGTTTATCTATACTCACAGTTATATACATTCAAATGGAAAGAAAAAACCGAAGAATCTAGCTACAGGAGAATTAGGAACAAAGCTATAGGTCTATAGGTCTATAACGACTAAAGCTTTGTTCATCACGTCAGCGATTCAAATTAGTTTACTATCACTTGGGAATGAAAATCATATTCTTTGTCAACCTTTTTTGTATTTGATGATTTATAGCATTAGAAGATATTTTGATTTTCGGATTTTGTGGGATTTTATACTTTTAACTTGAAATTTTTGGTTTTGTTTGGTAGTCGAGAAAATTAGTATAAGAATTGGACAAATCATAAGACGAAATGAGGTTAGCTCTACAAGTTATTTTCATATTGTAACAAAATAAAACTACTAAATACAAATTTAAAAATATTATAAACATAAGGTAATAACAATTCTCGTCCATATACTAAAAATAATAATATTATGTTCTAATTGTTAGACGAACACGACTCTCCACAATAGTATGATATTGTCCACTTTGAGCATAAGCTCTCATGGCTTTGCTTTGGGCTTTCCAAAAGGCCTCATACTAATGGAACCCATGATCATTTCCTAAATTAGTCGATGTTGAACTTTCATCATCCAACACCTCCCCTCGAACAAAGCACTCATGGCTTTGCTTTGGGCTTTCCAAAAGGCCTCATACTAATGGAACCCATGATCATTTCCTAAATTAGCCGATGTTGAACTTTCATCATCCAACACCTCCCCTCGAACAAAGCACGCCTCCCCTTAATCGAGGCTTGACTCATTTGGAGTCTTAGTCATTTTTTACTGCCTTCGTACCTTCAAGGAGGCTTGACTCCTTTTTTCTTTTTGGAGTCCTTTGTTCGACATTCGAGGATTTGTCAATCTTGACTCCTTTTTTCTTTTTGGAGTCCTTTGTTCGACATTCGAGGATTTGCCAATATATTGGCACGGCTAAGTTTAGGGCATGGTTCTGATACAATGTTAGACGAACACGACTCTCCACAATAGTATGATATTGTCCACTTTGACCATAAGCTCTCATGGCTTTGCTCTTGGCTTCCCAAAATGCCTCATATCAATGCTGTTAGTATTCCTTACTTATAAACGGATGATCATTTCCTAAATTAGCCAATATGGGAAATATGGAATTTTCATCCTCCAACACTAATAAAGATGAGAGATATATTTTATAATTAAGCATATAATCTGTGGATTTATGACTTTTTCTTATTAAAATTAATATATTATTCTTCTCAAATGTCCATCTTCTACCTTAAAAGGTTATTTTTTAAAAGAAGAATAATAATATTAAAAAAGAAAGAAAAAAAAAAGAGAGAGAATCTTTTTAGTGAATGAAAGTGGAGTTCAATGTACGGAAAGTTTAGACATAAACAGTACCAAATCAATGATAAGACCCAAACCACGAATCTCCCCATTAATTAATTTTAGAGAAAATAAGTATATTTACTTTTTTATACCAATCTTCAATATTTGAATAATGTTCTAAAAGATCATTAAATTAAATAATGCTTCAAAACTATTGTTTATGTTATATTCTATGGTCTGATATTGTGGGAATTTTTATTTTTATTAAATATTTGGACTTAAAAGCTCAATCCAATTTGTTGAAATAAATAAAATTTAAAATTAATCATAAGACAGAGATAAAGTTATACCTGCCCACTTAATGGATAACCCTCCATTGTCTTCCATGTTAGGTAGGAGAAGAGAAATAAATAAATTTATTGGTTAGTTTTATGTGTCAAATCAAATTATTATTATTTTATTTTAAAATGTAGAAAATAGGTTATTTTGTAATTACCATTATACCATTAGCTACGAAGGCCTATCAATTATTCATATATAACTAGTGACGAAGATGTACAAATACTCGAGCTTGTATAGACAGTGAGTAAAGCATATTAATTACTCAAACTGGCCGGTGACTACGGCGTATTGATACTTATGCTAGCGATGACAAGGGCATGATAGTACCCGACCATTGTACAATTAGCTATGATGACGTATTAGTTACTCAAGTTTGAATAGTACTCGAGCTTTGTACAATTAGCTACGAAGGCGTATTAGTTACTCAAGCTTGAATAGTTGGTGATGAAGTCGTACTAGTATTTAAGTTTGCTGACAAGTGTTCGAACTTGTACCGTTAATTACAATTAACTAGAAAAAGGTCTAGCTAGCTATTAAGATTAGAGAAAGAAAATGAAACCAAAATTAATATAATTAAGTTAATTACACAACCATCCTCATGTTCATCTTCAACATTTTTTTTTTTTTTTTCAAAAATCAATATATTGATCGGAAAAAAAAAATGAAAACCCAATATTTACATGAAAAAGAAAAAGACGATTATAGGCAATGCATTGAAAACTTGAACCCTAACAAAGCCCTCTCTATTCACAATTCTCTTACAAACCTCCCAATAAAAAACCAACCCGAACCGGCTCATTATCGGCACAAGCCGAGACTGAGCGCCGCCTTGACGTCCAGCCTCCAAGCAAACCCGCCGCCGTCCATCCTCCATGCATCACACGGCGCCGTCAACGAGCTCCTCTCCTTTCCCCACCGGCTCCGGTACTGAACCTTAACTCTACACGTGAATGCCGGCCACCACTCCTCCGTCGTCTCCTTCATCTCCAACCAAACCCTCACCACGTCATCCGCCGTACCCCCCACCATCTCCCTATACGCTTCGTTTGTCCACGTCACCTTCCCTCCACCGTCCGATATAAACCCGGGACACGTGTCTCTCTCCAGATTCCTCCTCATCTCCTCGTCCGTACATCCCAACTCCTCCCCTTCTCCCCACGTGATCTCCGCCACGTGCTCCACCGTCACCGACGAAGCCACTATCCTCACCGCCTGCGGCACCGACACCGCCGCAACCGCCGTCCGATCCACCACCAATCCCGCTTCCTCTCTCACCCCCTCGAAACTCAACCAAACCGGCACGTTTCTTCCTTCTCTCTTAACACAACCCGGAATCCCCGGCAGAAGTGGCAACGTCGTCGTCAAAACCGCCGAACCCAAAACGCCGTCGTTTGTTACACTCTTCTTCCTCCGATTATTGCACCGCTTACTTCCAGTCTCCCTACCGCACTTCCTCTTCCCTCTACCGGTTCGTCCGGTAACCTCAGGTTTCTCCGGCGTGGATTCCGCCGAACCAGATCCGGAGGAAAGCGCCGGTTTAGGCGCAATGGGGCGGAACCTAAGCATTATACGGTCTACTTTCGACATGTCGTGGGAAGGTCCGACATATCGGGCGATACAGCAACCTCCTCTCCCGTTACCGTCCATTAAGAAACAATCAAACGGCTCAGATTGAAAGCTGATTTTGCAGCAAAAACGTTGCGACGAGCGTGTGAAGAATGGCGAAGCAAAAGAGCGGAGATTTATAAGAAGCGGCGATTGGGACACGTAGCGGTACAGACACGTTGAATCCGCAGCTTCCAACAGCGCAGATCGCGATTGGGCGACATACAACAAACGTGGCGTTTTTTCCTTTTTTTTATTATTTATTTTCTCATGAGTGGGGCCCACCAAAGTCGGATTATGATTGGGCTCCACCTGGCAACCAATCAGAGGCCAAGAAGTGTAGAGTACAGAAGCCGAAAGCCATCCACGTATCCCCTGTCTCGCCTCTCACTCTAATTTATTTTATTCTTTTTTCCCTTATTTTGAGTTTTAAATTTTTTATAAATTAATAAATTAAGTTAAAATATGATTGGAAGAATTCCAACCATTGATATTTTATTATGAGCGTAAGATTAATTCATCCATTATTTGACGATAATTTATATTTTATCGGCAAGATTTTAATAAATAAATTTTAATATTTTTTGAGATCAGGTACCGCCAATCGACACTCTTGAAAAGTTTTGTTAACGACCTTCTTTAATGCTTTTATTTATCACGGGAGCGGTTGTCGATTAAACTTTGACTTTTTTAATACTTTTTGGTGATGGGATATCTTCTTTGATCTTTAAAATCCGACGTTGCCCATTTGAGCATTTCTCATTCCACTTAACATATTTCAGTTTTCACCCGTTTCAATACTCGTTTTCATCAACTAGTTTTTTAGCAGTAGTAGCTCATACGGATAAAGTTAAGAAGACAGTGATCATAGTTTTTGAGTTGGTACGAGTCTTTGAGGTTGACCTACTACTACACAATAAACTATGTATAAATACTCGACGTTGAACATTGTTTCAAACCATCGGCTCGACTATTCTAATTATTTTTAATTATCAACTTTACACAACACAGACGTTTCTAGAGTTATAAATTATGAACCGGTCCTTTTATTTTTATTTTTTTTTTAAGTAAATATTTTTTTGTTTTGGGTGGTTGGTATTAAATTTCAAAATCTAGTGAAGCAAAAAGTCACATTAATAATTTACAAATAATTATAATTAATTTATTACCAAAAATCGAGGGGATGAGGTGGACATTTTGGGGAGGGGAGGTAAGGTGGGTTAACGCGTGGACCAATAGGAAGCGGATAGAAACGACTAACGAGACCAAGAGATTTGAGATTTCCGTAAATAACTGTGAATCATATTTTGCCAAGTGGACGGTCGGATGGCACTTTCCCGTCATCCTTTCATATATTTTGATGTGATGGCCTCAGATCAGATTGATTGGTTCCTCGGAAAATAAAATAATAAAAAAACGAAAGGAGTGCGAATTTACCAAAATACCCCTTATTTCCTGACCAATATCCAAAAATTACCAAATTTTGACTCAATTGACCACTTTTTCTTTTATTTATTTGGAAGTATATTACAAAATTAAGAAATATTTTTTTAAATAAAAATGATTTTTTCCTATAATAGAAAATGGATAACTTTTAAACCAAAATATATATATAATATATGAGAGGATGAAATCATTAAATAATAATATTAGGTATGTTATTTATTGATTTATACTGTATTGAAAAAATTATAAATAAATTACCGAACAATTTGTTGGACAATCTCACAATATTATATCATCAAAATAAAAAGTATATATATTAATATTTAATTTAATTTAAAAATAATAGAGACATTAGATTGGTAATTAATGTCTTGCTAGTTGAACTAAGTTCAAATTGGCATATCAAAATTTTAAAAACAATATTGTGTGTTGTCGATCCAGCGATTAGGGAACAAATAATATTAGATTAATTTTTTGAATAAATAATATTAAAAAGGAGAAGAAGGAAAAGAATCCAGCTAAGATTGACCATTTTTAGTCTAGAAGTTCACAATGAATATCTATATATATCTAGAAGTGAATTAAAAATTGTGGGGGAAAAGAGGTTTCTAGAACCTTATTCAATTGCATAAAAAAAATGAATTAGGTTAATACTTATCTCCGGCCTAATTAGCTAGTTGATTATACAATAATTTATTAAAATAATGAACAATTACTTATCTAAGAAGATGACCGACCACATCGAAATCGAGATACGACTCGGACTTTTACTGGAGGCAACGATCTAAATTTTTTCGTAATGGATAAAGTAACACCGTTCACTTTTGAAATTATAACGAGCAGTTTGTGACTGTCTAATTTTCAATAATAGAGTCGTGAGATATAATAATTTTTCAGTGATTTCGTGGTTGTTAAATTTTAAAATTTAGTTTTAAATTTTTTTTTGTTGTATTTTAAAAAAGAAAATAAAAAAATAATATTAATCTGCATTTTTGTTGGGTAATTGGGCAGCAATTATTGATTCTAATGGGATTTTGCCATGTATAATACGCCAATAATTAACTTATTTTATTTAATTAATAGTTAAGTAGTGAAGTTCTCTTCCATAATTTATTTATTAATTTATTTTAGTTCATTGCATAATTCAATTTTATTTCGTTAATGGAGGATAATTATAATGAAATGATTTGACGTCATCCTCATCTATACTAATCTATAATTAACCTTATATTTACAAAAATTAAAATTTCATTAAATTCATATAATTTAAAAGGAATCTTATATTTCTTATTAAGTTAAATGATAAATTTATTATTTTTTTGATATATATATATATATATATTTGTGTTTAAATGGCTTCTAACGTTTTTTTAGTTCAATGGTATGTACAATGAGAAGACTTGTTCGAGGGGTATTAATGAAATTTTCAAACTTTAAAAATATTTGAACGTTATTAAAAATTTAAGGGTATTACTGAAACTTTTGAAAGTTCAGAATTTTTTTTTATACAAAATATATGGATATTTGTATTAATTTAATTAAAAATAAATTAATAAAAATATAGTTATGTTAATAAATAAAATAAAATAGGGGCATATTTGTCAAAGTTGAATAAAAATTGTATTATAAAAGAGGATAAGATCCCAAACTTAATTAGAAAGTGATAAAGGGTTCCCTAACTTTACCCTCAAATCAATGTCGCACCATCTTTTCATAGTACAACAAGTTTATTAAATATTTATGGTACGTAAAAGGCATTTATTTTGCATATTAAATAAATATATTAATTAAAGTTGGAGACTAAGAGTTTATATAATATGTAATATATAGTTGGATCAATAATAATGGAGCCTATAAAAACATTATTCTCTTGTATTGTTAAAAAAAAATAGAACAAAAATAAAAATTAAAGTAACCTTCGTCGTTCAACTTGGTTCTTGAAAGTATGACCCACGTAGATACAAAGAGACTTCTATTTTCTCCCTTACTTTTGATGATATTATTGTTAGACGAACAGACTCTACACAATGGTATGATTAAGCTCTCATGGCTTTGCTTTGTGCTTCCCAAAAGGACTCATAGCAATGGAGTTAGTATTTCTCACTTATAAACTCATGATCATTCCCTAAATTAGCCGATGTGAGACTTTCATCATCCAACAATTATCAGTGATGACTAATGTGTAAAAATTTTAGGTAGCTGCGTCGGTAAAGGTGGTAACAGCTGCGGTAGTTTTATTAACTTTGGTGGTGAGGAATTTGAGCCTGGTTAAAAGTCGAGTGAGAATGGAGAAAACGTGGTGATGGATTGAGTAACGCCCTCAAATACAGTGAAATATATATGAATGTGACTTCGATGCCAGAAAAAATTGGATAGAGATTTCAGTGACATACAATAAAATGAATTAATACCACGATTCGAAAATGAGAGTACCAGTCAAGAAAATAGCTTAAACTGTGAATTTTTTTTAATGAAATTGAAAATATAAGAGTAAAAACTGTTTGAACTCTTATATTATGAAATAAACCGTTTTTGGTCAAAATTGATAAAACTTCTCAGTTAGGGTCAAAAATCAACCACGACCTTAACTAAGATTATTATAGTCATCTCATTATATATAACGTTTATAGCATCAGACACGGCATCTTTACAAATACTTCGTACTCGAGCTTGTCGTACAAGCTTTGTGTCAATCTTAATTATTTATTCAAGTTGCTAAATAAAGAAATTTAGCATCTTAGATCATACCGGACTAAACAATTTTCATGGATCCACATGAAATTTTTAATTTTTTTTTTTGTCGTAATATTGTATGAATTATTATTATTGTTAAATAATATATATTATTTAACTCAATGAAGCTACTTTATATTTAAAATTATAATATGATTGTTAAACAACCAAATTAAATAATAATGAAACAAATAACCTTAAACAATATGGTAGGAATAATGCGACATTAGGCCAAAAGTGGCATACCATTATAAGTAAAGTGCCCACTAAACCATATAATTAATCCCTAAAATACGCTAATTTTCTTCATTATTTTATTTAATAAATGTGAAAAAAGTAACATCGAACTCGATTCACCACGCATGATGGGTTGAAGTACGGCTGTCGGAATCACCCACGTGATATCCGCAACATGGACCAATAGAATTTTGCCACGTAGTAGGAAAAAGTTTTTATTAAGATTGCAAAAGAAGTATGTCTCTGAATAATTTGATCTCCAGAAGGAAGTGGGTCTTCGCCACGTGGACCTTAGGGGTAAGGGGCCCACAAGTGAAGGGTATCTAGGTCCAACTTAATGGGCTTTGGTCTGAAATTAGGTTCCTGTCTGAGGTCCGGTCAGAAAAGGGAGACCGTTGGAATAAGGGCAGATGAGAGAGAAAGTGAAAGACCCTCTTTGGAAGGTGCAAGCCTGTCTAGAAATGGAGAGAATCTATTTGTCCTCCTTTATTTTTTTATTCATTAAATTGTAAAAAATACTTATATATAGTTTTTTTTTTTAAAAATTATAATATTATTTTTAACATTTTATAACTATAGATAAAATAATGTGACGATGGGACTCGGAGGGGGTGAGTTGTCCTACATTGGTTGAAGAGGGTAACGAAACATTATTTATAAAGATGTAAAAACCTCTCTCACTAGCCGACACATTTTAAAAATCTTGAGGAGAATCTCGAAAAGAAAAGCTTAAAGAGAACAATATATGCTAGTAGTAGATTTGGGTCATCATAAATGGTATTAGAGCTAGACACTGGACGATGTGCTAATTGGAACGCTGAGTCCCAAAGGGAGTAGACAACAAGTGGTGTGTCAGTAAGAACGTTGGACCCTGAAGAGGGGGTGGATTGTGAGATCCCATATTAATTGGAGAGAAGAACGAAGGTCAACAAAGACGCTGGACCCGAAGTGATAAGATAAGGAATCACTACAAGGAGAGTAAGATTCAGATTACCTTGTTGATCGAATATCTCAAGGCAAGAGCATTGTTTGAGATTCGGATCACTCCATAAGCAAGATCGATCATGTCTAACTTGAATGATTCTTGTTGATCAAATATCTCAAGGCAAGAACACTTGGTTCAGATTCGAATCACTCCACAAACAATATTGATCATGTCGAGCTTGAATGATTCTATATGCAACTTAAACTACATAGAATTGCAAAAAAAACTTAGCCATTGGCTAAAGAAAGAGCACAAATGCTTCTTTTACTATATTTTCAAGTCTACTCTTACAAATACAACATACATGGCTTTATCTAGCCTCAAAATGAAACTAATAAAGATATTCCAAGAGTTCTAACCTTCATACTTAATACTTAATGACCTTAATTAACCATTATGTAATTGTAACCTAAATTAAATTAAAAGTCTTAAAATACATTAATGAAGTACATTAACTCTAAATTATTCTAAATTGTAATCTATCCAAAATTCAAAACATGAAACTTCATTCTTCTTCGATGTGACATGAATTGAAATATCTTTTGATAATTTCAACAATATTTTCTTCACATTTTCATTGAACTATATTGTATGATTGATGTCTCTTGGTTCATATCACGAAGCGAGATGAATTGCGAAATCCCACACAAAAGAACGAGTACCCTTTGGGGTAGATTGCGATAGGTTCGACTAGGTTTAAAGAGTCACATAATTCCTAATTCTCGTTCAAAATTTGAAATTTTCTTACTCTAACCATAGTTTTGAACGAAAATTTAGGGGGAGTATTGAAATTTTTAAAAGAATAAAATTATTTTTACATAAATGATAAAATACAATTATATTAAATTTAAGATAAGGCTTTAAGGGGAAGGTGATTTTATAAAATTGATTTAACATCATTAAATAAAGATAAACTCAAATTAAGCCTTCAAATATCCCATTTCCTAATCATGAAAGCTACTTCCTTTGCTTTTCTAAGTAGAATTTCCTAGTAAGCATGTGCTGTCAAAAGAATCAATCATTAAATAAAATTTTAAATTATCATGTTGGGAAAATTCATCAAAAATCAATTTAAATATTAGATAATGCAACTGGGGTCAAACTATTTGAACCCATTATATATTTAAAAATAAAAAATAAATATTTTTTAAGATAAAGATATCGAGATATTTTAGTAAATTTTAGTAAATTTATAACCGTTCGTGAACCTATTAATGAAGCGAATTCAATGTAAATGCTTGAGCTTGAGAAGCTTCGGGTCCAGTCGGCCCGTAAAGCCTCTCGGAATTTGATTGATTTATTTATTCCTTTTTTGCTCTAAATAATCTTCCACTTACGTTTTCATTCCAAAAAAAATTTAAAATACACCGTGCACTAATTTCTACCGAATATATTCTTTTTCGATCACTTTTGATCCCAATAAATTCAAAAAACACGAGGTAGTAATTTCTACCAATTATTTTCAAGAATAAAGCGCCTAATTTTCAAAAAAAATAAAAATAATAAATTGTGTTCAAGAAATCATGTGAGCAAACTTAAGTTGAGTTCATAGTATTCGAGCCCGTTCAAATAAAGCCTAAAATAGTTCATTAAATGATAGTTGAACCCAAAACCCATCAAAGATCAAAGCCCATGATATACATAGAAATCAGTAAAGAGAGTCAAACAAGCAACAGCCAAAATATAGGTTCATGGAGAGAGTTCCAATTTGCTTGCAATTGCTGAATTTCTTGACATAACCGACACAAACAGCTTAAAAAAAGAAACGGACAAACAAACAGAGTCTTAAATTACAATACAAATACGTTATTCTCAGCAACAAGGAAGAGAAGAAAAGAGAAGAGAAGGGAAGCAAAAGAACTCTTACCTGTCGAAAGAAGGCCAATTTGGTGCGGTTTTCAGAGCCTGGACAGCTCCCTGGGATGATGTATGACTATGTGGTTGTACGCATCCAAGGTCAGAAAATCATCCAAGGTTGGCGCTGTGCATTGCCTTGTGAACATCTTGCAAGCCTCTTTGTACATTCCCTTCCTGAATTTCTCCTTCCCCACTTCTCTTTCAATCCTTTCCATTTCTTCTTCCACCACTCTTGCGAACAGTTCCTTGTTCACTCTCACTCCAAGCCCATCTCCATCCAATTCCACTCCATACTTCAGCCATTGCCAGTTTTGAACCCTGCTGATTTCAGCTGTGGCTGCATCTTCCATAAGGTTGTAGAGAGGCACAGAGCCTGTCCCGGTTAGCCATGCTGCTAGGTACTGAATTCCGACTCGGGTGTTCAACCGGAGCCCTTCCAATGTACGAACACCCCTCGGTTGCTGCAAGAGGTCGTCTTCAGTTAGGTTTGCAGCATCGTCTCGTCTTGCAGATCGGATCTGATTGGGGGCATTTCCCATGCTGTTGGTGAAGACTTCCATACATGCTGGGATTAATCCTGGATGTGCTGCCCATGTTCCATCATGTCCTGCCTTTGCCTCTCTCAATTTGTCCTTCCTCACTAGCTCAAGTGCCATCTCATTTGCCTTCGGGTCGTCTCTAATTGGAATTTGAGCAGCCTGTAAAATGTTACTGTCAAAACTCTTCCTTTTGAACGCGATGAAATATTGTGCATTGTACGTACCATGCCTCCCATGGCGTGCACACCACGCCTGTGACAAGTCCTGATAAGGAGATCAGAATAACTCCTCATGAAATGTTGTGCCATACCGACTTGGACTCGGTCGGGTAACAGGCGATCTAGGTGAGCCTGGAAGGTCTTGACATAGCTGAATATGTAATCCCATCTACCACAGTTCAATCCCACAGAATGATCCCTCAGCTCATAGAGTATTTCATCCATTTGAAACACTGCTGGAAGTGTTTCAATCAGCACAGTGGCCCTGATGCTGCCCCTCTCTATCCCTGCCATCTTCTCTGCTCTCTCAAATACACTGTTCCATATTTTTGCTTCCCTGCAGACCACATATTAAACAGCTTGTAATTTTGTTTGAATGTGGTGAACTGAATCCATTACGACCCAAGTTGAAAAGGCCCTTGAATCAAACTTTTCAAGTAATTTTCTTTTAGTCTTTGATGATAAGATCAAGTCCATAGAATCTATACTTTCTCTAAACATGGTTTTCTTTAAAGGGTGTTCATTCTTTATCAGACCATTATCATCTAAAGAAGAGACTCGTTGCAAACATACCTCAATTTCTAGAAAAACATGCCCAATTGGTGACCTCATAAAATTTGGATAGTTAAAATGATGTCTTACCTGGAGTGCTCCATTTTGGGAAGGTAAAAGAAAGGGCCAGAACCTTGACCTTGAGAGCGCCGGAAATTGGCATGGTTGTGAAAAAAGTAGAGCCCGAAGTCCACAAGACAGCCGGTGGCAGGCTCGCCGTCGATGAAGATATGAGCCTCAGGCAAGTGCCAACCTCGAGGGCGAACAAAGAGCTTGGCTGTCTGATCGTTCAGTTTATAAACCTTGTTTCTAGCTTTGTCATGGAAGCTTATAGTCCCATCAACTGCATCCTTCAGATTAATTTGCCCCCTCATCAAATTCTCCCAGTTTGGTGATAGTGCATCTTCAAAGTCCGCCTGTTTTGATTTTTTGTTCATCAAATTGCATTCTCTTAAGAAATATAAACAAAATCTTGATCAGAGAAAAGGAAGAGAACGAACCATGAAAACTTTAGCTCCAGAATTGAGTGCGTTGATGATCATCTTCCGCTCCACAGGTCCGGTGATCTCCACTCTCCGATCAGCAACTGCCGGGGGGACTGATGCACATGTCCACTCAGATTCCCTTATATACTTGGTCGCCGGATCAAACCCCGGCACCGCCCCTTCATTGTACCTCCTTTTGGCTTCTCTGCGGCATTCCATCGAATACCTTATGTGGTTTCTGAAAGTCCTCTGTAAATCAGCCACAAACAGCAAGGCTTCCTTGTTGAGAATCCTGGCAAATTCTTCATCATAACGTCCCCGAATGTCCACTCCCTCTGGAACATCGTAGCCTCGGCTACTTTTCTTCCTTACTGCCGATTCAGAATACATTCCCAGCGATCCCATTTTCTTCTTCCTCTTCCTCCTCCTCCTCCTCCTCCTCCTACAATTAAAGCTTATTCGGTGCCTTCGTAGAGCTTAGGTGCTGTGTATTTATATGCAGCACAATTCTCTAGGACTTTCCGGGTGGGATAGGATCGTTGAGGATTATCGTTATGGAGATTCATGGCGTATTCCAACGCAGGATAAGATAATGGCGTCTGACGCAAGAAAGATAACAACAATCTACCATTTATCGAGTTCCGTGCCAACATTGGGAACTGCAGTTGAGTAATTGAAGAAGATGATATGGCGGATTGTGGTCATCTCCACGTGGTAGAATTTCGATTTTTGGCGGCGAATTTGAATTTATAATAACTGAGGTAAACAGATGAAGTTCCAACCCAAGGATCTTCTTTATGTTCTTGCTTTCCTCACGCCCTAAAGCCTGTGTTACTGCTGTACACTCTTTCAATCCATATACCAAATCAACCGAACAGAAGATTTAATCTATAAACAAATTAAGAACAGATTTGAATTTAGCAATCGAAAGGAATTATTGGAAATGGAGAATGTTTATTCTCTGACCAGTATAATTTAGGGCAACTTCTCATGGAATTTCTCGACCTTCTTCCCCAAGAGCAGCAATGCCGCAACCCTAAATTGGAAGAAAACTTGGGACGTACTTCGCCGCCAACTCCGAATTAGCCAACGCCACCACGAACGGCGGAGGAACTGAAATGTACGACACGTTCCACTTCTCCACTCGGATTCGAATCTCTGCATCAACATCACGGTATTGCCTATCGGATTGATTGATTTCGACATCGGCAACACCATCGCCTTCTCCATCCGATCAAATTTTCAGTCATAATAGAGATAAACTTCGGAGAATCTAGGGAGATAAGACGTTCGCCTGGTGAGCAATCTCCAATTGATAACTAGTAGGGTTAGCTGGAGAAATGCGGACGCCGAGTGGATTCAAATTTGACATAGAACGGTGGCGTTTGCAGGGGAGAGGATGATTGGAGGAGAGAAAGGGCGTGAGGCTGAGATATTGGTTGGAAGTGGGAGTGGTGGTCGGAGGCAGTGGGAAATCTTTGTTTGAGGACAGAAACCGCGTCGAAGATGAATGAAATGGGCGGCGTTGGAAGTTCGGATTCCGATCCGCCATGGAAGTGGACTCGAAGAAGGCAAAAATTATGTTTATTCAGAATCAATGGTAACAACAAATCATTTATCAAAAAGTCTTTAGATCGGATACTTTTCATTCATCTTTAATCTATTTTAGTTTGATCAATGAATCCTTAATTTTGTGTTTTATTACCGTTAAATTTATGAATTCTTAATTATATATTATTTTATTATTATTTAATTAATGGTATTTGTTAAAGTTTAAGATTAAAATTGTACATTTATAAAATATTATTAGATTAAAATATTATTATAAGATTAGAATTTAAGATTAAAATGGTACATTTACATGTGAATCTGGTAATCTTTTTATTTATTTTTGTAAAAAAAATTGAAATAAAATATAAAAGTTAATTGAAATCTTAAATTAAATAATAATTATAAAACATTTATAATTTAAGATAAAGTCAAGTTTGGAGAGGAATTAAATGACTAAAATACTAGAATTAAAATATTAAATATTTTAATTTTAGGGGCATAATTAATCAAAGATAAACATATAATTAATCAAATTAAAAGTTGTATAATAGTAACACCATTTCCTTAAAATAATAATAATCATTAACATGAAAATGCAAGTCATGGTTTTCTATTTTATAAACTAACATTTGAATTTATTGGTCAAATTTAAAAAATAAAAAATAAGATTTTTTATTTTTAATTTTAAAATCTTATTTTTATTTATTTTTGAAGTTTCTGTGGTGCAAAACTTCGTGCATTTTCATGGGAACATATCTCCCTTAGAGCTTATTAGAACCATGAGAGCGAGCATGTTGGGTCAGCTCCCTCCTCAGAATCTTGCCTGCAGGCGATTTCGGGATCGCGTCGATAAACGAAACTCGTCGAATTTTCTTGTACGGTGCAACCTGCAAGATGATGAAAATGGTCACAGCTTGAATGCAAGAAGAAGACATGAGAAATAGCAGACAATCTCAAGCTTGCCTGTTTAGCAATGAAATCAATAACTTGAGCCTCAGTGACATTGCTTCCAGGCTTTCTAACAACATAAGCCATGGGAATCTCTCCAGCATCTTCATCGGGATAGCTGCTCAACAGAAGTGAAAAAAAGTTCATCAGGAAAATTAGGTAGCAGAGAGCTCATTCTTGACAAGTTTAAGAACAGACAGATGCATACGGAATCACAGCAGCGTCAATGATTTCAGGGTTGGATTGAAGCAAATGTTCCAATTCTGCAGGTGGGACCTGGAATTTGTTCCAAACGAACAAGGATTTTTAATAACTAAAGAGCCACTATGAGGTGGTTCGGTTCGAAAGTCATTTCAAATAGGACCTAAGACAACAACGACGATAAGACAATTGACATTTGTAATCATATTCGCTCAAAAACTCCGAGAAGTCACCTGGTAAGCCTTGTACTTGATCAATTCTTTTAATCTATCAACAATGTAGAGGAATCCATCAGAATCAAAATAGCAAAGATCACCAGTCTTTAGCCATCCATCTGGATGCAGGGTTTCGGTAGTTGCATCGGCATCTCCCACGTAACCTGAATCAAACGATATTTGGTGATCTGTTTATCAAACAAAATATTCGGGTGCAGTGCATTCCTTACAAAATCACCTTCATGTCACAAGGCAAATAGAGGCGAGATATTATTATTTTTAGTTCAACAGTAAGTCGAAAATACAGTACTTCGGTTCATAGATAGAACAAGCATCGATAGTAGTTACAAATCTAGTATATAAGTAACATCATATAGCACGGCTCCTCGATCACTTCATTAGCAGCTCGGTGTTGTCCAACTGAGGAGTTAGAAGCCAATGATGCTAAAGAAAATATGCTCAATGATTCATAACGGAACCAACAAAAACTCCACATGGAATTCAAATGGGACTTCCATACTGCGTTTCTAATTGAAAATTATTGAAAGGAATAGTATCACATTGGCTAAACCAAAAAACAAAGCTACGAGAGCTTATACCCAAAGTGAACAATGTCATATCATTGTGAAAGGTCGGATGTTCCTAACATGGTATCAGAGTCATGCTCTTAACTTAGTCATGTCAACAGAATTCTCAAGTGTTGAACAAAAAAAAGTTGTGAGATTAGAAGGTATAGTCCCAGGTGACTCAAGTGTCGAAGAAAAGGTGTATTTTGTTCTTGGGCTCCAGAGAAGGAGTCGAGCCTCGATTAAGAGGAGACTGTTCGAGAGCTCCAGAGAAGGAGGTCTCAGGAGAGACTCTATGACATACTTTGTTCGAGAGGAGAATTGTTGAAAATTATCGAAAGAAGTAGTTCAATATTGGCTTAACTAAGAGGAAGATCATGGATGGATAATTAAAAAAAACACAATCTCCATTAGTATGAGCCATTTTGGAAGAGTCAAAAGTAAAACTATAAGAACTTATATTCAAAGTAGATAATATCACATTATTGTGGAAGATCGTGATCATGATTGAACAGAAGATTGCTAACCTTTCATGATTCCTGGGCCTCGCAGCCAAAGCTCTCCTCTATGGCCAGGAGGCAAGGCCTCTCCAGAAGCAGGATCCACTATCATGGCTTCCATATTTTCAGATAGGCGGCCTACTGACTTCGTGTTGCTGCTTTCCTCGGGCCCCATACTTCTTGCTGCCCCCGCTGTACTCTCTGTCAACCCATATCCCTAGTCAAGAAAACAAAACAATGCGGCCCTCAGGATTGAGAGACATGTAATGCTATGAACAGGAAGAACAATTAATTATGGGTATAAATAAATAGGGTACAATAAATGGAACAACTATCATCACTCCCCACAAGAACATTAATGAGAGTTAAGTCAACTTTAGCTATTCATTCTTCTTATCAATACTTTTAACAAATCTATTTATTATTTAGTAAAGTTTATAGCAACAGTTTTCATAACATACAATACACACTTAAATATTTGAGTTTCAAAGAATAAGGACTACTATCATTTTGATTGTGTTTTTCAAATACTATTTCAGTTCATCGATTAACCTTAAGATTAGTTCTTAATTTTAAATTTATGGTTAAACAATAAAAATCATTTTTGAAAAAATCATCTAATTTAACATTTCAATCCAACAAACTAAAAAAAAAAAAGTCAGTGAACGAACAGATTCGGATTTGGCAACAAATAGGACGGAGAGTTCATCAGATTCATATGAAGGGAAGAAGAAACGAGGTCTATTGTACACAAATCATTGAGCAAAAACAGTGAGCGTATTTCTTACAAACCTGGATAATTTCAACTTTGGGCAATTTCTGATGGAATTTCTCGATGACTTCTTTCCCAAGAGGAGCGCCGCCGCACCCCAAAACTTGTAGAGAACTGAGATCGTATTTCGCCACCAGTTCCGACTTGGCCAGCGCCACCACTAGCGGCGGAGAAACTGGGATGTACGTAACTCTAAACTTCTCTACTGCTGATAGCATCTCCACGAAGTCGAATTTTTGCATCAGAACCAATGTTTCTCCTCGTGAAATCGCTCGAAGCAACATGACGAATCCGAAAACATGGAACAGAGGCAACAGACACAGAGACACCTGACGTGGCTCCGTCTCTCCGTTGTTGACCTCAGATAGAAGAGGATTAGGACTAGAGTTCACCACAATAAGGTTTCGATGACTCAGTAACACGCCTTTCACTCGTCCTGTCGTTCCTGACGAGTACAGGATCGCCGCCGAGTCGGATTGATCGACTTTGACGTCGGCAAGACCATCAGATCTATTGATTTCGGTCATCATGGAGAGAAACGCAGGAGAATCGATCAGGACGGTGCCGAGTTGAAGCTTGGGGAGCTTGGACGCCGTGGAGGATGTAGCGAAGGCAATGACCGGTTCACTGAGTCGAATCTGATGAGAAATCTCCGAATCGGAACCAATCGGATTAGCCGGAGAGATAATAACACCGAGAGATAACAGCGCAAAATACAACACAGGGACTTCCAGAGAAGTCGGTGCGAGAATAAAAGCCACTTGACCATTGGAGAGTGAGGTTAAAGCTTTAAGATTAGAGGCAAGGGTTCGTATTTGACGGAGAAAAATGGCATAGGAGAGATGGACACCGGAGTTGGAGTCGACGAGAACGGCGGCATTTGAAGGAGGAGGGGACGATTGAAGGAGAGAAAGGGCGTGTTCGGTAACGGATAGTGGCTGAGATAATGGCGGAATTAAGAGGGGTGGTCGGAGGCTACGGAAAATCTTCGTCTGAGGACAGAAACCGCTTCGAAGATCAACGAAATGGGCGGCGTTTAAGCTAGGATTCCGATCTGCCATGGAAGTGGACTCGAAGAAACTGATGCGCGATCGAGCACGCGGATGCTGAGCCAACTTATTTTATTCAAATTAGTTGAGAATGTTTTGGATTGAATATTCAAACCGATTAAAAAAACAAAAACAACTTTACAAGATTAAAATAATAAATTATTAATATAATAATAAATTGCACAATCTACCAATAGAAAATTCCAAAACAGCTTTTGAAGTATTTATTGAAAAAGGTTTATTCTCTTTTTAAAAACCAACCACGTTTCAAGTTGGCTAACAAACTGCCAAGTTTGAAAGTCAAATTTTTCTTTTATTTTCTTTTATTAAATGCGCTTTCAAATTCAGTCAAATTATAGTATAAATTTAAATTCATTTCCTTTCTTAATATATACTATAAATTAATATTATCTATCTTTTCAAATAAATAATTATTAGTATACTAATTTGGCTTTCTTCGCCCCTCGAACAAAATACACTATAATCCTCCTCTGAGGCTTATGGAGCTCTCAAACAACCTCCCCTTAATCGAGGCTCGACTCTTTGCTCTGGAACCCTCGAACAAAGTACACCCTTTGTTCGACACTTTAGAGGCTTACAATTCTTTGTTCAATATTTGAGAATTTTATTGTCATGGTTAAGTTTAGGGCATGACTCTGATACCATGTTAGGAATCACGAATCTCTATGATATTGTCTACTTTGAGCACAAACTCTTATGGTTTTGCTTTGGGCTCTTAAGGCCTAATACCAATCGAGATGTATTCATTTACTTATAAAAACCATGATCAGTCCCTAAATTAACTAACATGGGACTCACTTACAACAATTTTCAACAATTTCTATCACTAAATTTATGTGGCGATGTTGAAATCTCTATTGTAGTAAACCTCTTGGTGTTTTTGGGAGTTTTCTTCCCCATCACATTCATCAATGTAATTGTTTACCTGTGAATATATATAATTATGGTGATGTTGAAATCTTTTTCCAGGACTCGATAGTTATGTGCGCTTCTGGGATATAAAGACAAGGCAACTTCTGTGTGCGGTAAGTTTTCGCAGTTCTTTCTAGTAAAAATTGGTTGTTTAGATTCATCATTCAGAAAATAACGATGTTCAAGAAAGTTTGTCAGATTGTACCCGAATGAACATGTTTGAAACAGATAATGTCAATTGTATGGACTAATTTGCACCATTAATGTGATTGCATTTAGTGACTCAGAGCTGTTTATAAGTCTCTCAACGTTGGTTGGTTAAAAGTTCACAGTACAGGAAGGGGAAAATTTAGCATTTGATGCATTGATGTAAGCTGGGACAATATACCATATTCATATTTCTAAACAGAATCAGTGTTACGTTTGCACATACATTCTGGCACAGGATATGCAACAACATCAAGATCTTTCCTCTTGGTCCTTGGCTCAGGCTGACCCTGAGATCGTCTGTGCACCTTCCTCACAATGATTCCAAGCTCTATTTCAGAAATGGATGCATCATCAAAGTAATCGAGCATTGCTCGTTTGTTTGGTTTTATGTATTTTCTATGCCCGACATAGGCACGATGCCCCTGGTGCCAAAACAAAAGCAATGTCAAAGAGGAGGAGCATTGAAGGGAAAGCACCAAGAAGTTCGAGACAAATTACCTGCATAGCTCGACCCATGTTCCCGCCATGGGATGGCACGAAGACGTCACTGCTCAAGGACACAATGTAATCAATGGCAGCCATAGCAGATGACTTGTTGATAAAAGGTGAAAGCTCTCTTTCTCTTGCCAGTGTGTACTTTGTTGCTATATTTGGGAATTCTGCAATGAGTGATTGCAGAGCTTTCTTTCCTCCAAATGGCTCTCCTCCTGCAGTGTAAATCCTCGCTTGTTTTGGTGCTCCAAGAGCCTTGAGGAGCCTATTATCATCACCAAAAAGTAAGCTTTCTTCTCTCCTCTTCTTATTCAAAATTCTTAAATCTCAGTTTCATTGTTTACCTTGCAATTTCCAGGGCATTTAAAGGGCATAATCCAGCACGTCGTCGCTGGATGTGACTCATGTTTATCCTTCCCGTAAGATACTCCGGTTGCAAATTCCGAAATTTGGCAACGATGGTGTCATAATCCGAACCCAAACCAGTCTGGCAACCAGATCTAACCCAAACATCCTTCTCTAAACGGAGATGGATGGCTATATATGGTCCTTCAATCCACATTCTCCTTGTTAGCTGGTTTCCCAGCTCCTGAATTGGAGCTGCAAATATTAGTGCATGGAATGCAACCTGTCCATAGAAGTGAAGAGAAAAGTTAAGTAAATATGAAGCATTCACTCAAATATCAACTCATAAATTCAAACCCTCCTTGATTTACCTTACATTTGAGCTTCTGCAGGTCAAAGGGAAGATTTTTTGAGAGCTTAGAGTCAAGCCCATTCAGTATAAGAAGCCCTTCTTGATTGAGCTACAAGAAAAACAGAAAAATCTCAACAATTTGAGGTCATCATCTAAAAAATGTTCTGCAAACATGTTGGAAGAGCTTCTCACTTGGGTTCCAAATCTTGCACGAATCCAATGAGGAGAAGCATCATGAGGAATCTTGGTCTCTTTTAGCTTGAAATGCTTGAACGGAAGAGAAGACACGACTCGAACATCGGCTCGTAACGTGTTCTTGAAATGTTCGACATCGAAAATGTCGGAGAATTTACTGCAGAATTAGCAAAACCCCATTTCTAAAAACACCCAAAAAAGAGAGAGAAATGAAAAGGAGAAGAAAAGAGAAGTCATTTACCTGTCATCTTTCCATATGAGATTGACCTTCAAAACAGGGACAACCAAAGCAGCCTTAAGAATCCTAGCAATCACAACAGCATCAGCAATTTGGTTCCTCTGCTGATTCAACCCACCGGAAACCATCACCATCAAGAATCTCCTCTTCTCTTTAGAGATCTTGGCAGATTCCTTCCTGTATTCCAAACTGAAATCAAGACAAGGCCTATAGCCCTCCCCATCCGGCTGTTTCCAAAACTCTGTTTCTTCATCGGAGAGATTTGAAGCCACTGTGTGGACTGGCAACGGCATCATCGCACTGGTCGAAAACTTCGGCGAGTTCTGGTGGGTCGAAGAAGCCACTGGAGAAAGCAGAGAGAGGAGAAGACGAGACTGAGAAGAGGATGACATTAAAGGGAAGGAAATTGAGGATTTGGTAGAACAGGGGTCTGCATAAAATGGTGAGGAATGAAGGACATTGACAGTGGAGATTGCCAAGAAAGCGAGAGAAGTAAGTAGAGAGAGAAAGAAGAGAGAGAGATAAGGGTTTAGAGTTCTTGGGAGTTTCTTGGGGGAGAAGATGGAAGTGAGAATGGTGAGTGAGAGCAAATCAAAGAATGGTAGTGGGTTTGGAGTTGAGAAGGAGGCTCTGCTTGTTCTTGGTCTGGCCATGGCGGAATGTTTCATTGTCTTTGTAATTCTCTGAGTCTTGCAAGAAAGAAGAAGAAGATGAACAAGAACATCGGAAATGGGGTTTTGAATTTGCTATCAAAATTTGACATTTTTGGCGCCGTTTGCTCTTCCTTGAATGCAACTCGGAGTACGACGGTTTTTTCTGTTGAATCCTGATGCAATATCTTTTGAATTTGGCGCCAAAATATCTTTCACCATCTTTCAATATCCAATCCAATCATTACATTTGCCACATTTCAGTATCTGCATTACGCTTAACGGCCCTAAGAAATATTGTTCTCTTTGGACTTTCTCTTTTAAAATGCATATGATAGAGAGGTTTCCACACCCAATGCTTCGTTTTTCTCTCCAACTAATGTAGAATTTCACAATCCACCTTCTTTCAAAGCCTAGTGCCCTCGTTTGACTCACCGCTTGATGCCTAACTCTGATACCATTTGTAATAACTTAAACCTACCGCTAGCAAATATTGTGCTTTTTAGGTTCTTTTCTTCCAACTTTCTTCTCAATGTTTTTAAAACGCTTTTGCTAGAAAGAGGTTTCTACACCATTATAAAAAATACTTTGTTCTCCTCCTCATTCGATGTGAGATCTCGTGTTAAATTAATACGAAGGTTGGCGCACTGATGTGTTACATTCGTATAGTTCCCGTGCCTCGAACCGATGGAACTATTATTTCTCATTTATTTATGTTTTCGAAACACAAGTGTGTAATACAACAAAGAAAGATCATCATTGAATTCAACGGTAAATAGAAGAACAAGTAATAAAAATGAAATCTTTGTATCATTCTATGAGAGAACTTTCTGAATCTCAACTTTGACTTCTTTTGGAGGCTTCTCAGCGGGGAGATTGGCAACCATACCCTTTTTGGCATAATACTCAATCACCTACACCTTTCGGGCTTTCCTTCAAGGTTTTAAAATGAGTCTGCTAGAAAAAGATTTTCACGCCCTTATAAAGAGTGTTTCGTTGTCCTCTCGAACCAATATAGAATATCACAAAAGAAGAATGAAAAGAAGGTATAATAGGATATGTTTGTTTGTGGAATGCCTCCAGGCGTTTCTTCAGTACAGTGGGAATATCATCTTTGCGTTGAATCAAAGGCTCTCCAGTTAACTTGAACACACCCTTAGAAAAAATGTTTCGTTCTCCTCCACAACCGATGTGAGATCTCACCGTTCACCTCACTTCAGAGCCCAACGTCTTTGCTGGCACATCGCCTCATGTCCACCCCAATCGGGACTCAACCTCCTCACTAGCGCATTACCTAGTGTTTGGCTCTAATACCATTTGTAACGGTTCCTCCAAATTACACAATTTGACTCGGAATAAGCAATATGAGGCCAGAAATCGTAAGTATAAGAGCATAAAAACCGAGAGTCCGAGTAAGGTTACTGATGAGAACGAGACGCTTGTCGGGCTTGGAGGAGCACTTTATGCGGCGGAGAAGCTCCGTCATGAGACCAACGGAGGGCACGTCTTCAAATGCCACGGCTGCATAAATACCCGCCATGGTTGCTCTGCTCCGAAGCTTTATTTTATTTTATATGTCTGTCTTCTCAACGGAATTTCCAAAAGAGGTTGGTTTAGGGGAGAGAACTTTAAAGGCTAAAGCAGAGATTTTGAAGCTCCAAACAAACTAAATGCTTAGAACTCGAGCACAGTTCAAAGCACCGACCGTTACGAATTATAGTCAAAGTGACAGTTGTACCCCTAAGCTTTGAGTCCCTATTTTGGCGACATTGACCGTTACGCCCCTGGCCTTCGAATAAGACATTTAACTGTTATAACCGAAACATAGGTGAGGTATGGTGTGAGCTCTCCGCTGGGTTAAGAGTATTATTATTATTATTATTATTATTATTTAGTGATTTATTATTTATTTATTTATTTATTTATTTTTGCGAATGAGCTTGTTGTCCAAAGTAGGAAGGCAGCCAAAGAAGAGTATGGGATTTTGTTAAATTCATATGGAAGACAGGCTGTCAATTTTGTTCATCTTATATTATTTTTAGCTTTAGATTTTAATAAAAGTTTAATGTTGGATTGGATTGGAATTTGGAAGTATCCAAACAAGTTGCTTAATTATTAGTCCTGATATTGTAGTTTTTTTTTTTTTTTTTTTTTTTTTTTTTTTTTTAAATTTAAATTTAAATTATTTAATTATAAATTTATTTCTTAAATTTAGTCTCCAATAATTCTCAATATTTTTTAAAATTCATTAATATACTAAATATAGGCTAATAAAACTTTAATCTTTAAATTTTATGGATAAAAAATTCATGAATTTTTAAAATATATCAAAATTCCAGAACCAAAGCTTAAAAAGTTTGTTGGATAATAATTTTTTCTACTTTTTGAAAATTGAATTCATCTTTAAAAAAAAAAAAAAAAATTAAATCTTTGGTTTGACTTTTATAAACAATAGAGAATATAAATAACAAAACAAATAGAAAAATAAATAACAAAACAAAAAATTAAATTGGCATTTATTCATAAGTTTAATTCTTAAAAATTAAAAGATTAAACTATGTTCGTATTAATGTGTGATATTGTTAGAGACAATGATACTTTACAAATCTATATAATGATGCAAATTATCTATTTTAGGCATAAGCTCACATGTTTTTACTTTTAATTTAACTCCAAAGATCTTAGAATAGACTAACAATTTTCATCGGGTCGCATTCCCAACTAAAACAAACCTGAAAATTTCATCTACCACGGGGACGAACAAAAAGAATCCAAATGTAAAGCTAACTTTATGGATCAGAAAACATCCTACATAAGCTTCAAAATTTTCTAAGTATAAAAATGAATAAGAAAGCAGGCGAGATTAGATCCAAATTGTGAAGTATAATAATGGTGGACTGTTGGATTCCATTCACAGCCGAAGCCTCTCCTTTTGCTCGCAGCCCCCAGCTCAGAAGGACTGAGACTTTCCAACCCAACACAACACAACACAACACAATACCCATTCCTGCCAATTGTCATACCCCATTTTCCATTGCTTTCAAGACAGAGAGAGAGAGAGAAGCATGTGCTAGAACTAAATGTGTCCACTTCAGGTACCCCACTTTCGCATCATCACTTACTGCTTTGTGAATTTTCTTTTCGAATGACAGTTGTGAGAAGAGGAACACTATGCGAATACTCTCGTTCTTTGCTGCATTTTGCTTCAAATAATGACTCGATTTGATCGGCCTCTCTTGTTTTTCTAACAATTTACTTGGTGGGTTTTCCTTCTCTTCAATCCTCTTTGATGATTTATTTGTACTCTCTGTTTCAGTGTGGGAGTTCGAGACTGGCCACTTCCCAATCTTCAACTTTCTTCTTCCGTTAATCACAATCATTGAGATTCACCATTTTGATGTTTCTGAAACAGAGACTACTTGAAGAAGAAGAAGAAGCAGTCAAGATCATCGTCTGAAGAATCTTTCATGGGGAAGTATGATTTGTTGTTACTTCTCAGCTTTGTTTGGACTTTCGTATTTGCTGAAGCTTACCAATTGCAAGCCTCTCAAGCCCAAGTGCTTCTCCAGCTGAGGAAGCACTTGGAGTACCCAAAGCAATTGGAGTCATGGACTGATCACAGAGTAGATTTTTGCACACAATCTTTTCTTCCTCTTGTTAATGTCACATGCATAGGCAGTGTGGTCACTGAGCTTAGAATTGCTGGTAATACCAAAGGCAAAGTTGATGAGTTCATTGGTTTTGCAATATCAAATCGAACTCTATCAGAGAGCTTCTCTCTTGATTCTTTCATCACCACTTTGACTAGACTAAACAGCTTGAGAGTTCTTAGTCTTGTGTCTTTGGGCATCTGGGGTCCACTTCCAGACAAAATCCATAGATTATCTTCACTTGAGTATCTAGATTTGAGCTCAAATTATCTCTTTGGTTCAATCCCACCTAAGATTTCTACTATGCTGAAGCTTCAAACTCTCAAACTAGAAGACAACTTCTTCAATGGTACTGTACCTGACTGGTTTGATTCATTGTCTAGTTTGACGGTGCTGAGCTTGAAAAACAACAAGATCAAGGATTCATTTCCATCTTCAATCCTCAGCATCAGTACCCTTACTGAGCTTGTCATGTCTGGAAATTACATTTCTGGTGAATTACCAGATCTAAGTCCGTTACATGGACTAACTGTACTGGACTTAAGCTGGAACAAAATAGATTCACCTCTGCCTCTGCTACCAAAGACAATGATCATGGTTTTACTCGGAAAAAACTCATTTTCGGGTGAGATTCCACAGCAATATGGCCAACTTAGTCAGCTCCAACAGCTTGATATATCGTTCAATGCATTGACTGGCATCCCTCCTGCGACCATCTTCTCCTTGCCCAACATCAGCCACTTGAATCTTTCTTCCAATAAGTTATCTGGGTCGCTCCCAATCAATCTGAGGTGTGGCAACATGATTCAGTTTGTTGATATATCTAACAATATGCTTACAGGAGGACTGCCTTCCTGCTTAGGCATTGAATCTGATAAACGAAATCTTAAGGTAGATGGGAATTGTTTATCTGTTAATGTAGGGAAACAGCATACGAAATCATATTGTGATACAAACCATATGCACCAGCACCAGGAGCAATCTAGAGCCAAAAATGCAGGAGTTTTAATGGGATTACTTCTTGGTATTTTGTTGTCAGTGCTTCTACTTTCTATTGGGGTTGTTTTATGTAGAAGATGTTGGCCTAGAGAAATATCAGAACAACATTTACTGCAGAAATCAGTTCAGGATAGTTCAGCAGCAGGGTTCACATCCGAACTTCTAACAAGTGCTAGTAAGTTCAGTAAGAATTTCATTTGCAGTTATTTGTTTAGTGTACTGAGGAATGTGGAAGTTTGGAAAATTAGTAGACTTCCATGACTTCAATACCATTTCAAAGTTTCCTTCTCACAGGGTTTGTTTCTCAAGCTGCAAAGTTGGGAATTCAAGGCCTTCCATTGTGTAGGACTTTTTCATTGGAGGAGATAAAAGAAGCTACAAGCAATTTTCATGACCCAACCATCATTGGTGATGGTTCATATGGGAAGGTAACATTCTAATCTTTATGTCTAGTTTTGTTGCATGATGGTTAAACTTTCTGCGAATGGCTTGTAGTTGGCTTCCTTTTTTGTGAGTATTTCTTCTATTTGAAAGTAAAATGGTGAAATTCACCAAACAGGAAATGCACTTGAAAAATGATGATTAAAACTCATAATTATATTACTTTGAAACCATCCTTTTTATCCATGCATGTGCATTTCAGATATTCTGAATCTTTTCCCACCATGTATTTCAGCCTTCTTAATATGTTTTGTAGCTTTACAGAGGGAGGCTGGAGAATGGGACTCAAGTTGCCATAAGGTCCTTGCTTATATCAAAGAAATTTTCAATTAGAAATCTTAAGCTTAGGTTGGATATGCTTGGAAAGCTCAGGCACTCAAATTTGGTCTGCCTTTTGGGACACTGCATTGATGGAGATGGCCAAGACTTTAGTGACATCAAGGTCTTCCTTGTATCTGAATATGTTCCTAATGGAAGTTTTCGGACACATCTCTCTGGTAATTTTGAAACATTTTCGAACTAAGATTCTATAAATATATTCAACTTTCACACCAACCTTTCCCTACCTGAGAGAAATACTTCTCTTTTTTCTTACAAATGATTGAACTTGCAGAGAAGGTTTTGAACTGGTCTGAAAGATTAGCAATTCTAATCAGTATTGCCAAGGCTGTGCACTTCCTGCATACTGGAGTTATTCCAGGTTTCTTCGACAACCAACTAAAGATCAACAATATCTTGATTGATGAGCATAATGTAGCAAAGTTAAGTGATTATGGATTGTCCATTATCTCAGAAGAACCAGCCAAATCTGTGGTAGGTAGGAGTTGATTATTACTGTTGTTCATTGGTAAATTCTGATTACTTATGTTTTTTTGTTTGTGTAGGCAAAAGGAGAAGGCCCTCAAGCTTGGTAAGAACGATTTTTAATCATTTAGGCCCTCTTTTCCATGAAAATCAACTGTTCCTCACTTGAATTATCTATCCTCAGGCAAATGATGAACTTGAAGGATGATGTATATAGCTTTGGGTTTATACTACTAGAGGCACTGGTTGCACCTTCTGTTTCTACTAGAAAAGGCCCCTATATACTAAAGGAAATGGTAGGCCAAAAACTTTCTGATTACTGCTTTATTTGCATTATACATAGTAGGCTGCTAAATTATAAAAAATACTCTCAAGTTTGCCATTTGTTTCCTTATTCTTTCACAACGTTATAATATTATTCTCGTCCTTTCGTAAACATTTTGGAATAGAAATTCTCTAAAATTTCAGACAAAAGTTAGGAGCTTAGAACAGCGTGGCAGTGGCCTAGAATAAGTGGCAATTCTAGTTTCCATTTTAGGTCACTGCCCCCACAATTCCATATCTCAATTTTTGTCCAAAATTCTAAAGGATTTCTACCATAAGGTTAGTCTATGAAATGTCAAGGGTAATGATGCAACTTTTGAAAGAATAGGGGTAGTTTTGAAACAAATGGAAAAGTTCAGCTGTGGCTGTCAAGGTGCACGAGAGGATCAAAATTAATTGATCATGGTAGTGCATGGGGCTTACGTAACAGAAAAAACAAACAAAGCTCTCAATATTCCATTTCTTTGAACTATTCAGTTCAAAATGTCCTAAATGGCTTTCCATACATACAGATGAGTTTAAACAGCCAGGACGGACGACGGGGACTCATTGATCCAACCATTCTAGCTACTTGCTCGCAAGAGTCTCTGTCAACGATTATTTCTCTAATGAACAAGTGTATTTCCCCAGAAATGAGTCGTCCATCCATGGAGGATGTTCTTTGGAACCTACAATATGCAAATCAAGTCCAAGATGCCAGGGATGGTGATCAAAGATATAGTTCTGCATCACAACAATGATTTGTTTTTTTCTTCCTGAAGTTGTTTCATGAAATCAGCCTTTCTTCTGAAAGCAATAGATTCTCACAAGGCACGTTTTTTCAGTTTTTTGTTTTTTAGAACTCCAATAAGAATAGATAGGTTTATATATTGGACATGTCATCTCGACATTGATTGTTAAAGTGTAAATCCACTCAAATATAAGAGCCCCCTTTTTTTTTAAGCTTCTACATCTTCCCAAAAAGCTCTAGGTCCTAAGAATCTATGAAATAAAACTGTTGTCCAACTCTAGAGTAAACAACTAATGCGTTTAGCGAATTAAATAAGGTGCGACCCTCGAATATCAAAACATCGATCTTGTAGTTCCTACAAAATCAAGAAGATGGTGTTAAGCCATGAATTTTCCTTCTTTTTATTGCATTTTTCTCAAAAGGTTGAAGGGACCTTATGCATTTACCTACTTGCAAGGGCCAACTCCGATTCTCTTCTCTAGGATCTAATGACAGCTTAGAATCAGTTCAACTAATCCCATAGGAGAAATTGTACACTCTAATGAAATGTTGTAGGATTGTACGATTCATATCCCATATAGAGGTCATTATAATTGAGTTAAAATGTTTGAACTCAATACTTCCAATTCTAGTACATTTTTGGACAGCACTTTTTACTATCCATTTATTTTTCCGTTATAAAACATTTTCACATTTTATTAAATGCTTCTATTTTTCAGGAAATGAAATCCCAACTAACTATGATCAAGGGGAAAAATTAATGATTTTTCGGACATTCTTTCGGACGTTGAAGTTCGAACTCAGCAATGGCTCGAAGGCTACCCACTATCTAAATTTGGTGAAACTATATAATGAAAAGAAAAATGGTTGAGAAATACTTTGCAATGATACGGTAGTAATGATGAAAAGCCAGATCATATATACACATAAAAGTACCTGCTCAGCATAGATTTGGAGTTCTTTCTTCCAGGCACCTTCTGAATCTAGTTCGTCAATAAGCCTTAAGGATTTACATCATCGTATGTAGAACAGAAGCTCGTTTCTCACAAGAACCGAAGAACGGGAAGAAGAAGTACCCATATGATATTTAACGGAACAAAAGTTCACGCATCTGAAATTCACGATCGGACCGATCATGGCAAGTTGATCAACAATCTTCTGCTGGAAAAAGGGGGAAACAATGATGGAGAACAGAGCCACTGTTAACCAGTAAACTTACTATAATGAAAGCCACGAATGATGCAGCGAACAATTTTGGAAAGCATGTGCTCATGGGGAATTATGTTCAGCTAAAATCCTCTGTCGCGTTTTCATAAAACAGTTCCATTTTTTCATCAAATAAGTAGTGATGAGTTATTTAAAATCATATACACATCAAGTGTTAGATATATTTAACATCATGCAGTCATAGCTTAAATTTAATTATATCAATACTTAAACATATATATGGTAAATCTGGTTTATAGACTCCTGGACATCAGTTCTTGATATACAGAGTCACGAAGGCATTAAGAGCAGAGTTTCATATACGAAACGATGGTTAACTAGAAGCAAGACTCAAAACGGGAGTGAACCTTTTGTTTTCATAGCTGAAAGAAAGAATTTAAGGTGACACACGTATTGACATTCATGTAATTGAATATGGAAAGGAATAATCGAAGTTATGAGAATGTCGTCCCTATCAGAAACAATCAGGAAGGTGCTTGTAGCCAGTATCTATATACTACAGCGATAATCACATTCCTCACAATCATCTGAACTCGTAATGAAATATGAATTACGAAGACTTAAATCCAAAGAATAAGATCACGAACACGGCAAGCAACTATGGATTCAGAGCCGGAAAACGCAAAGACGCAAGACGTTTAAGCGCAAATTCCATGAAAAAGATGCCAAACATTCAAATGAAGCTACGAGTGTCGAGTTATACCTGTCTATATAAGAACGAGCGAGGGCTAAGTTCTTGGCGAACCAAGCTGTCCATGGAAATATGAGGAACTGCAAGCAGCCTGGAGAGCTTCTACGCATAAAGATGCTTCTTCGTGCGGGGGGTTCCAATGAACACAAACTCCAATTCTCTCATCGGGACCGAGCCTTCCGAGTATCCAATGGGAGCTACCGCGAGGTGATCAAGTCGGGATTCGAGCTCTGCTCTGTAGTCGTAGCAGTAATATTCATAATCAAATTGTGGTTGAGCTGAAGAGGCGGAGGTCGCGGTAGAAATGAAATGTCTCAGACTGAAACAACGGAGCGGTGTCGCGGCGGTCTCAGAGACGCCGGCGATAGTTTAGGCCGTCAAACGGCGGAGAATGGCCAATGGGCCAATAGGTGAGGAGGTGGAATTAAGCTTGTTACGCGAGCCCAAGATATCATACATTAGCCCAGCAATTTCATTCTCCTACCATCCCAAAATATCCCTCGACTTTACCAGATTTTTCAATATTATGAATTATTTACTTTTTTTTTTTTTTACCCATCGAAAAAATTTAAGATTTGCGCGCCAATGATAAAGTAAAGGGTAAAAAATAATAAATTCCGTCCAAATTTTAATTTTGGGTATATCTAAAATACAATTTTTTTTTAATTTGTTAAAAAACTATTAAACATAAAAATTAAAAATTTAGAGAAATAGTTAAAATACCAAATAAACACGAACTCAGAAATTTAGGGATTGGATTAGACTTTATTTAATATAAAATAAATAAATAAAATTATTTTTATGTAGGGTCATATAAAAACAAATCAATTACAATAAATAAATAAATATATATATATATATATATCAATTATATGATGAGTAACATGCAAGGGCATTTATGTCACATTACCCATCTCATTAATGAATAATAAATCTATTTCATAAACATAGTTTTTTTCCGCCTAATAAAACTATAAAAACTTGAAAATACCAATCTAGCCTAGAACGCATATTTCATCAAAACAATCCATCGATAATCAGAGGGGGGGATGGATCAGATGTCCTTATGGAGCATTGCCCGGACTCTGGTCGGAAGGCCATAAAGGCGGATGAAACCGGCTGCATCCGCCTGATTGTAGATCTGCCCATTTTCAAAGGAAGAGATGTCCTCCCTGTAAAGACTGTATTGACTTTGCCGGCTGACCACATGGACAGAGCCCTTGTACAGCTTGAGGGTGACGGAGCCGGTGGTGGTTTCTGTGATCTTCTCCATGAAAGCATCCATGGACTCACGAAGAGGGTCGAACCATCGGCCTGCATAAACCAACTCTGCATATTTGAGGGCCAGTGAATCTTTCACTTGAATAGTCTCCCGGTCAAGAGTTAGAGACTCGAGCTCTCGGGTGGCTGCGAAAAGGATGGTTCCTCCTGGAGTTTCATAGACACCTCGACTTTTCATGCCCACAAGACGATTTTCGACCATGTCGATTCTTCCAATTCCGTGCTTTCCACCCATTTCATTTACTTTGGTCAGAAGAGAGGCTGGTGAAAGAACCTCGCCATTGATGGAAACGGGGAGACCTCCTACAATCCCTATTTCCACATATCTGCAGAAGATAGCATGTTGAGCTTGTTGAACAGAAAATGGAAAACACCCACCAAATAGACTAATAAGGTAATGCCAACAAATTATGCAAACAAAATGAGTAAAGAAATTGTTCTCTTTGGGATATTGGACTCTTTGAAGTACCTCTCTTTTTCATACTATTTTAATTTTCCAGCTGCGTAGCAAAAAATGAACTTGATTTTATAATGGCCTCAACCAACTGTGGTTGATAAAATTTTAAATAATTGAAAGACGGATTCAAGAATAAAATCATTATTGCAAAGATTATTTCCAGCTATTTCAAGAAAAGGAAGTTTACTCGGGTTCGTTTGGTGCATCTTCTGGATCTGTAGAAATCATATACATGTCCTTTTTAGGCTCATTTGCTGGATCCTCCAAAACGTCCCCCTTCAGTTATAATGCACAAGAGAACATCAGCAAGAGATAAATTCATAAAGATGTTAAAATCCACCTAGTTTCTTGATACATCCTAGGAGAGAATCGTCACTTAGGTTGATTTCAACTTGATAGGCAAACAATCCCTAAGATGAATCAATCAATACTAATAACCGTTACCTCATGATTAAGATGAATCGATCAATACTAATAATTGTTACCTCATGACTAAGATGAATCGATCAATACTAATAACCATTACCTCATGACTAAGATGAATCGATCAATATTGATAACCGATGCCTCATGACTAGGATGAATCGATCAATACTAATAACCATTACCTCATGACTAAGATGCCACAAGTTCCGGTCTCGGCTGTAAATTGATTTCTTTGTCACTGGAACAGGTACATTATGCTTCTTGGCATACTCAATAGCATCTTCTCTTCCAGTAATATCCCATTCCCTCCAGGGTGCCACCACGTTTAGATTAGGATTTAAAGCAAAGAAGGCCAACTCAAAGCGTACCTTGAAAGATATGCAGTACCAATTGTATTCATCAAGGAAAATAGTATACTCATATCCAAATCACAGTGTACGGACATACCTGATCATTTCCTTTCCCAGTGCATCCATGAGAAACAGCATCAGCTCCAACTTCTTTGGCAACATCCACCATGGCCTATGTTTTCCAAATATCAAAATAAGGGAAAGGGAAGGAATTACCAAATACCCAAACAAATAAGTAAGAACCATGAACGTGACAAACGTGATTGGAGCTTACAAGTCTTGGGAAATTCACATTGCTAATATAACTTTAGAAGCAAGTACTACGGGCGAAAATGCTCTACAAGCTAGACTTACCTTTGCAATGACTGGACGGGCCATTGATGTCCCAAGCAGGTATTTTCTTTCATAAACTGCACCAGCACGTAGGCAAGGAAATATATAGTCTCTAACAAATTCTTCCTTCAAGTCCTTTACCACCAATTGACAAGCTCCACTTGCTCTAGCCTTCTTTTCCAAGCCTTCCAATTCCATCACGCCCTACAGGTTTAAGACCCACAAAGAGATGCAAAAATGTAAATTTCACTGGGTTTTCAGTCAAGTAGGCATCCTAAAAAAAACCCACAAAACTAGTTCACCTATGCTAATTACATACTTGACCAACATCTGCCGTAAAACATACAACTTCGCAACCATAATTCTCCCTGCAATAAAAACAATAATTAATGCCCATAGGAAGAAATAATTCAAAAGCAGTGAAAGTAGATACTAGAAATACTGCACAAATCCCCAAAGAGGAATGCAGAAGGAGATGACATATAAAGAACAACTGAAAGCTAAAAAAAGAAAAAAACCCACTCTGCAACATTGAAAAAAATGAAGGCCTACCTCAACCAGGGAACGATGACTGATGTATCTAAGCCACCACTGTAAGCCAGGACAACCTTATTCAACTGCCCACGCAAACCTCTAGTTGTTATACCATTGGTTGTTTCTAACTCTCTCTCGCTCGGCAATATTGCCTGAATAACTGGATCCATTCAAAAGGAAAGGATAAAAGTTTTATCAACTCGATAGAAGGGAAAAACTCAAAAACCCATCTTAAAAAGCATCTAAATCACAGGGCTAAAACATTAGAACAAAATTACTATTAAAAAGACACTGAATCCCACTTGACTGTTGCTCTTCTAAAGTCAATATAAACACGACTACGAATAAAATTACTATCTGTATAAATCGTACTAACAGAATGACTCCATGATTAAAAGCTCGATCCGATAAAACTCCCTACGCTTCTCCAACCGACTGAACAAAACTACCCGGGGAAGGAATTAAGCGCAGACCAAGCAACAAAGGGAACCTCACCGCTTTTCTTATTCGACCGCAGAACACTGGCCATGTTACAAGCTATGCTATTGCCATGGATTTCAGACGCTTTGGCACCCAGCTGCAGCCACAAATGCAATAGAATAAGTCCAAGAATCAGATAAAAACAGGCCGGAATTAATTAAAAAAAATCATGTAAGAATAGGAGGGAGAGCATTATTGATTCAAATGCCTCTTGAAATGAATGCAACTTCGTCGAGCCAGATATCCTGCAGTAACTCGCCACTGACTCTGAAAATAGAAACAGAAATGCAATCTAAGATGACGCATTTTAACAACCACAGACCATGACTCAATCGAATCATATTCTCCACCATCGACATAAGACTAGTCCATTCATCTCCCCGAAAGAAAAATTACAGAGTAGCCAGAAACTCGGATGAACAAATGAAAATAGTTACCATAAACAAATCCATTCCCGTTCCCATTTCCAATCTTATTCTTCGAACGACAGAAAACATAAGATTTCAAACGAAAATACCTGCTTTGGATGGGTGAAACCCGCCGGGAGCAGTTGAGAACAGAGAACCACCCATTAACTGAGCCATAGCGATGGCGGCGATTGTCGTGATGTGTTCACAAGCCTCTGAGATTAACAAACAGCCTTCTGCCAAACAGCTCTCTGAAAATGGCTAAGACGCTAGGGTTTAAAACAAGCGGCGGCCGTAATAGAGGCGATCTAATGAACAATGAAATAGCAATTAACATTATAGCTACGCGTCCCTTTCACACGTAATTCATTTTCAAAGGACGATTAATCGGCTCTCCAACGACACTGGAGATTCTAACCCGTAGACTAATATTATTTGATAAATAATTCCCCTTTTTTTTTTTAATTTAATTTCTCTCTTATTTTCTTAATCAAATTTGGCGCTAAATTTTTCTTTTTTAAAAATATTCTATAATTATCACCAAAAATATGCTTAATTAAATAATTATAATAATCATATATTAGAAATCTCCCAATTGATTATACATTTGCCACTTGGAATCTTTGTCAGCTGCTTACAGCTTTTGTTCTTTGGATTTTCTCTTTTTGTTTGTCACATAATTAGAATCTTATATAATCTATAATGAGTGGTACCCAAAAGCGATTCACATGGGGAGCAGTTTCAAAGCCAAAGATCGTAATTCTCGAACGAGCAGTGTAATGATTCACCCTAGATGGCGACAACCCAGTAGTCGAAAACTTAATTAGGTGAGATTTTACATCGGTTGGAGAGAGTAACGAAGCTTTCTAATAGACGTGTTTTAAAATCGTGAGATTGACGGCTATATGTAATAGGCAAAAGCGAACAATATCTATTAGTAGTGCACTTAAGTTATTACAGTTATACTCTGACCTGAGTAACATGGAGAACGTAAAATCCCATGTGAATTAGTAAAGATCCCATTATATAGCTAAATACTCGTAAGTGAGTGTTGTTTTAATCCTATATTTTAATAATTAAATTAATTTTCGTTATTTTATCGATCACGATTAAATTAAATGTTATTTATATTTACCTGTGGTTTTTGTGTTACACGAGCACATTTTAAAAAAAGATTTAAAGTGTTTAATTGAAAATAATTAAAATATATAGCAAAAAAATAAAAGAGTTTTAAGATTTTTTTTTTCATAGATCTGAAATAATATTTGAAGATTGTAGATTGTGGTGTTCATTAATATTTATGTCTTAATTAATCAATTAAATCATATTTTAATAAATAGATATAAATTAATTAATCATAACTAATAAAATTTAATATATTTTTGTAAATAAAAAATTATTTAACTATATTTAATAACGGGCTAATTTATAAATAGTGTCAATAAATACTCAATTAACATATCTTTATATAAAATTATTTAAATTAATTAAATCCATTAAAAATTTGGAGAGAAAAATAAATAATAAATAATAAATAATAAATAATAGCCGTACTGGTTTTGTAATTATTATCAGGTACGTGAATATTAATTAAAATGTAGAGTAACAATTAAAGTAGAAATGAGTAGCCATTAGAGTGGTGAAGTTTTTGTATTTAAATGGAAGCCGGCACTCCCAGGTCTCCGATTTGTGCAGTCAATCTTGGAATTTTCGGAAACGATTCAGTCCTCGATTTTCTCTGATTCTGTTGGAGAATTTCAAGCCTAGATCTATCAGTTTAGATCTTAATCACTCTCTAATGGCCGCCGGTAATTTTGCAATTCTCAGAATTTCAGCCTTCGTTTTCTCTCTATGACACTGTTCTTACAAATGTCCAGGTCGTCGGTCCGCCCGCGATCAGTCTTCAAGTTTATGGTTGTCATCAAACCCTAGCAAGAGATGGGGAGAAGTCTTCTTTCTTTCCTATACTCCATTTTGGCTCACACTTTGCTTGGGGATTGTGGTTCCTTTTAAACTCTACGAGGTGTGCACTCGTGAACTCTGCTTTTAATTTGTGCGAAATTAGGCTAATTATACTGGTTTTTTTTAATTGATGTTGATGGATGGTGGAGGGGGCTTGAGAATCCTGAATGAGTGAAGTAAGCAGAAATTTCTTAATCCTTGTCTAGATTTTATCTTCTTTCTGTTCACATTTGGATGGGGTTTGAAGAAGTCAGCGAAGAAGAAATGGTTTATGAATCTGGGGATGTGACAACTTTCAAAATAAAATTCTGTATTTAGTTGATAATTTTCCTTTGCTTGATGAGTGTCATTCAAGAACAGTGACGTGCGAACTTTTTTTCTTTGTTCTCTGTCCAACATTACGACGAAGATGATATCTTAATCTCTGTTAAACCCCCATTTTTTTTTCCTTGTAACGGAGAATTGTCTACAAATTGCTGTCAGTTCTACTTTTTCCCCCACTCTCTCTCTCTCTTCATTATCAAAAGTTTAAACACTGGTGTGCTGATTGACAGAGTTTTACTGAATTGGAATATTTGCTTCTTGGATTAGTAGCAGCACTTCCTTCCTTCTTGATACCGGTGGTGTGGCCTGGAGAGGTACAATTTACTAGCTCTTCATTTTTTATTTTATGTTTTTCCCATTTCTATGATCCTAGAACCTAAATTTATTTACATGTTTGTTTATGGGCACTAATGGATCGCAAGTTAACTGATTGCGCATCCAACCATTAGTTAATTAATATAGATCCAGATGATTTGTTTCTGTCTAAGACCGATGTGAAACTGAATATTAGTCACACGCACACAAAAATCTAATCAGAAGGAAGACTTATCAATTCATCATCTGTAACTTGAGATGCACACAGTAACAAAGGCGAAGTGATCTTATTTACTTGGAATTGGTTGCAGGCTGACCGCTCTTTGCCGTGGAAAGAGCGTTATTGGGTAAAGGTTAGTTTTCTACCTTTTGTGTGTGTATTACTCTGTTTTTGCAATTATGCATTTCGGAAGAAGCAGCTATATCATCAAAGCTGATTAATTTTGATAAATGAAAAGTTGTTTCTTGGGCTACAATCATTCTTTTTCCACTTAAATCCTGCCTTTTGATGGCCACAATCTATTTCATCAACCTCTTATCTGGTACTTTTTCATTCTGGAGTACATTTACACTGTACATGAAATCAACATGATAACAAAGCAAATTTCCAGAGAAATAACACTTAGCCGTCCTGATTCTGAGTTTGGAGAGGCTGTGTGAATTGTAAAATATTTCGGCTCAGTTCGCTCAGTTCCATATAATCCAATCCCCATAAGCGTTGCCAATCAGTTTTTCAAGTTGGTCAGTTCCTAAACTCTACATGATTATTTTTTTCTTCTTTGTGGCAGGCTAGTCTTTGGATAGTAATATTCAGCTATGTTGGAAACTACTTTTGGACCCACTACTTTTTCACCGTTTTGGGGGCATCTTATACCTTTCCATCATGGAGGATGAACAATGTAAGCATGACAATTGGAAGGAAAAGTAAAAAAATAGCAAAGATTGCTTGCTTCTATTTCTGATAAATGATTTGCTAATCATAGGTACCACATACGACCTTTCTTCTTACGCACGTCTGCTTTCTTTTCTATCACGTTACATCAAACATGACTCTTCGGAGACTTCGGCATTCTATTGCTGACCTACCGGAGAATATTCAATGGGTTATGCTGGGGGCATGGATTCTGGCACTCTCATACTTCATCGCATACTTGGAAACTGTCGCAATTTCTAATGTAATGACCATCATTCTCCTCTTGTGTTGTCAATAAATATCTTGTCAATCTGTCTCGACATGCATTTGGTGTTAAAAGTTATTCGAACTGAAAAGGATCGAGAACTTCAGCATGTTTCTATAGAAATATTTCTGCAAAATGTCTGCTGTTCTTACCGATCAATCATTCTTTTCTGTTGTATTTTTTCTCGCATTACTTATTCATTTTTAATAACTTCGATAATCTGAAGTTTTATTATTAACATTGAAGAAGTTATTCATGCCCATTACTTTTGATACACATCTTCCTTTGAGCCTGTGCAGTTCCCTTACTACCAGTTTGTGGATCGGGCTTCAATGTACAAAGTTGGCTCTTTGTTTTATGCCATCTACTTCTTCGTCAGCTTCCCAATGTTCATGAGGTAAGATTCTCAATCGTAGTGCCTTTATATTTATAGACCAGTTTGCTTCTAATAAGTAGAAACCACATACAAGTCTGCCATTTTCCCTCCATGACTCTATCCCCTACACAAACTAGATAAGGGAAGAAAGACTGGAGTTTCAAAACTTATCATTTTGGGGACATTTAACTTTCTATGATTGCTCTGAATCATCTTGTGTAGTTGTCACGCTGCTGTTGCCTTTTGTATTGCCCCATAACATGCATGAACTTCTGTAGTATATCGACATTTATCTTATCCCAGTAGTTTGTCCCATGGCGTTAGTTCAGATGACTCACACTTGTAGACCAGATTAGGCCCCAAGTAGGTTATGGATGCGGTCGGACTTTTGTGGATCTATTACCACCCATTAAGTCGGCCGCAATTTCATTAGGATATCCAATACACATGAAGCCACAGGGGGTTATGAAGCATGCTAGCAGAGGAAAAGTCCTATGAAAAATGGGCATGTTGGAGACTCAAATTCACCAAGCAGGAAGTGTAGAACTAGAAGAATTGGTCTCCTTCAGATTATTACTATTATTATTAGTTTGATAGGAAACATATCCTTCATATTATTAGGTAGGGTAACATAATTCAAGGCCATCTCCTGCTTGAAACTTGAAGAGATTGAATTTTATTGAGGAACAGAATGAGTTTGTTTCTAATATCTCTCGATCATGTTGAATCCGTACAAACAGGATTGACGAGAAGCCTGGTGATCTTTGGGACTTGCCAAGAGTGGCCGTTGATTCTCTAGGAGCAGCAATGTTGGTGACAATAGTACTTGATCTATGGCGCATCTTCCTTGGGCCTATTGTACCACTTCCCATAAAGCAATGCAATGAACCAGGGCTGCCATGGTTTCTTGGACAAACCAAATGATGCTCTCAGCATTTATGCTTCTGCGAATGGCTCCATCTTGTGTTGTACTATATATAGTTTATTGTGGTAGTTTTTGTTATCTTTTTGGACTATCTTAGACTTAATTTGGTTAGATACTTTTGATGAATGATTCCTTCTACTGCTACATATTATTGTGCTGCTTTTATTACTGGCTAAAGCGAATTAGGGCATCTCATTAGTAAGCCGACCTGAATCGATTCATCGGATTTTTCTTTTATTGATTGATTTGTGCGTATATCCATAAATCTTTCTCAATATACTAAAAAAAAAAAAAAATTGTATTGAATCCAATATATACTCGATTTCTTGTCTTAAGTCTCGTAAACACAAATAAACACAAAAATACTGTGCGCGTTCTTTTTAAAAGGTGAAATTCGCAATTATTGAAAAGTGGGAGCATTTAACAATTTAATAACAGTGTGAGTTGTTAGTTGTTAGGAGTTATAACTGCATTAGTATTAAGAAAGCTTGTATAGATCTTATTTGTCCAAACGTCCTCACCATCTTCTTCTTAAAAAATAAACACTTATTTGACACAAAATCGACCATTTAAATACCTATTGGGTAATAAAATTGAAAGTTAAATATTTATTACACATTTCAAAATTAAGATATCTACGGAAAATAAAACTTCAACAACTAACTTATTAGACATTTTTTTAAAAAAAAATTAGAGATTAAATATGAAATTTAACCCGATTAGAGTACTGTAAAAGCATCTTGTGTCCTAAACTCCCTCGCTTTCTACATTTGTTACAAATTGAATACAAAAAAAAAAATTATCTCATCATATTTTACAATAACTCAAAATTGTAAGTATGCAACAATAAATAATAAGCAAATATTTCGAAGGAAAAAAAATAATGTTACAATTTAACATTAAGATAAATAAACACTGAAGTGCATGAACATGAAAGATAATAATGCAATATAAACTCTTTTAATAAATCATTAATATTATTTTCAGAAGACTGAACTTGGGACAATATAAAATTTTAAAGTGTAAATACTCTCAATCTCATCCTGCCCTCTACTTGGATATTCTTCAGCCAAAATAACAATCGAAAAAAAGATATATTTTTTGCAGTTCTGAAATTCATATTGTGATCAACCTAAACATAGCTCTCTGTTAAATTAGAATCCCAACCCCTTATAAATTTAGAACAAACTATTCTATTTTAAAAGAAAAAAAAAAAAAAAAAGACAAGATGGGATAGTTAAGAGAGTGTGTTCAAACATACTCAAGAATATAAGTATTTATGAATAAATGTTATACCAAACAAGGTCCATCGAAGAAGCTTCGTTGTTGATTCTACAAAATTTTTGATCCTCATTATGAACACCACCTGCAGCCAACAGGGGAGGGGGGAAAGAATGTATTCTAAGCAATAAGGAAAAAACTTACCAATAAAGAGTGAGAGAAAGAAATACATCCACAAAGCCAACTTAGACGTATCCCACGATGATTGAACATCAGAAATTGATGGAGTTTTGCCTATCTGGAGGTGCAACACACTGCCAAAATGAACGGTATGTGGGAATGCTCGCCGCTTCAACCCCAAGGGCTGACAGGTTGCGACCATACTCCTGCAATGAAAATTGACAGATAAAGTTCATTAACGTCTCAGGATTTTAGGTGGCTTATTGGTTCAATGAGAAAGTTTTGGAGATATAGAACATAAGGGCAATAAGAATTTAAACATTTGGTGCAGTAGACTTTAGGTCTGTTTAGAATGAATGACTTTATATGTAACGATCCAAGCCCACCGCTATCAGATGATATTCAGATATTTGAATTGTTTCTTTCGAGTTTTCCCTTAAGGTTTTTAAAACACGTATGCTAGGGAGAGGTCTCTTTGGACTTTCCCTTTCAGGCTTCCCCTCAAGGTTTTTAAAACGTTGCTAGGGAGAGGTTTCCACACCCTTGTAAAAAATGATTCGTTCTCCTCCCCAACTAACGTGGGATCTCATGTGCTTAAAAGTACTTTTTCTCCGATTAAAAACATTTTTTTAAAGCAGTTTGAAATTCATTTCAAACGTGTCTTTATAACTCGGAATATTTTATATGGTTCCACTGCAGACATTGTATCATCACATAAAATATTAGCTTCTGCATATTTCTGGAAACTACTGAAGCACACCATTTTGACGCGGCAAACAATTACAATGAAAACCAGTGATACCTGAATATCAAGAAAGAGTTGCATGCAAATCTTGTCGGTGTCAGAGATGTTATGGTCTGAAACATCTGAGCTTGCTCCAGCTCGTCTCTGTACTTCCTGTCGGATTTTCTGGAGTGACGAATCTGTTTTCCTAGCCTGGCATTGAACATTAGTGAGAAGAAGAGTCTCTTAGAGTAATAACTAGGATAAAATTTGGTATATCCAAACTAACCAAGCTAACAAGATCAGCTGCCAGTTCGTAATAACGTGCCGTAATCTCTGTCACAGCACCGATCAGCAGTGTATTCCTTGCTTCTGCTGTCAAGAAGGTTGCCGCTTTCTCTCCATCCAATAAGGCCTGGTGGAGTTTACATTGTAGCATCAAGTTTACAAATAAAGAACCATAATGTCAAGTTAGTTTCCTCGGATATGAAGAATAAAGCATTTTGAACAAGAAAATAAACTTCTGACCCTCACGATCCAAGCATCAATAGATGGTAAAAACCAATATATTTATCTAATGTAACATGTATCAAAAGGTGAGCAATCCAGGTTAAACAAAAAGCTCAGTGAACAACTTAAAAGGAAGTCTTATAACGACATAAGAAAACAACACTAATAGGCCCATGTATATAACTATAAGATCTTATGCGTAAAGTTGCTATAAAACAAAACAAAAGATTTAAAAATAAAAATAAAAATGCTACACATGGCTTCGAGAAAGTATGATGAATCAGAAAATGAAGAAAGAAAGAAAAATATAATAGCGAGCGATCAAAAAACTTTAAAAAATTGTGTGGGCCTCACTAGCCAAAGAGATGCTGCCGGTTGCCACTGCGGGTTCAGCCGAGTCACTGAAAGGTTGCCTAAGTACATGGTGTCCCTGAGGTGCATGCCTAGGTATTTGGCTGCGCCTCCTAAAGTAGTGTTCATAAAGAACCAGATTCATCTAAGATACACCAAAGAATGCGACAAGAATTTGTTGAATACCTTCAGGGGGCGTAGCAGCCCTGATACATAGGGCGAATGCCTTACAGGTAGTGGTTTATTGGTCATCCTGTATGTTGCTGTTATACCCTTCAGCTGTCTCAAGTCCTACATTAAGTTCAGAAAAGTAGTCAGAAGATCCAGAAAACCGATATATAGAATAATCTAGAGAAACTTCTAATCTCGTGCACAATGAGCATACACGTCAAACATTTACCTCAACAGATCTCTCAACCAGTGAAGTAACTATGGCACCAATAACTTCGGGCATTAAATTATTCAATGACTTTCCACTGTACAAAATGCTCTGCTTTATCGAATCAAGAACATCCGCGGTGCATGATGACAGGAGCTGAAGTACAGTTTCCATGAATTCACCAGCTACCACCGTTGCAAGACGACCAAGGTCATGGATTATCTGCACATCCAACATTTCTTCAGTATTTCTCGTGGGATTATTCTTAATCCCCAATCTCGTGACCATGTTTTACATTCCTTCTACTACTACAACTATTATTTTATTAATATTGTTATTATTATCATTTTTTTTTTTTTTTCGCGGCACTATACTCACATATATTAAATCATCTGGGGCAGCTGCTACGGCCCATTCAGAACCTGGATTGGAGCCTGTACCCGTCTTACGGGAAGCTAGACCAGATGACAACCAATTAGAGTATCTGTTCACATTAAACAAGGGCTCAAGCCAGTCAGTCGTTAATCAGTATAATAGATATGTACATGTTCAAACTATCCAAATTAGTATACACTCGCCTTGAAAGGAGCTGCAAAGATAGACGAAGAAACTTGTCAGAACAAGAAAGGACGAGAACGTCCTCTCTCCAGCATGCTGTCAGGCAGTCTAAAAGCACTACACTCTGCTTTAACGTTAGATCCTGAGTATCTCCCTGGCCAGAAGATGAAGTTTGAACGGGGGTTAGACTGGGTGCTGAAAGGGACGAATCCAAAGCCCCAGCTATTTCCTGAAACCTGATGATGAATGAAGTTATTAGAAACTTAAACCCATTGAATATGATGTTTCTATTAGAGTGTAAGAATTGAATTGATTACCTAAGAGAAAAATAAACCCCAGTATTCCATTGCTTCATGAACTCATTATACACAGCTGCAGCTCGAAATTTAGCAACAGCAGATCTTGATGGACAATAGCCTTCAATGGAAATTGGACAATGTTAATGTAATGCAGAAGATATCTTTTTATCAAAGATGCAATAATATGCTTGAAATTGTCATTCCGACTTTAAATCCGCAAAAATAACAGAGAAAAAGAGTTAGATATCTACCTTCCAAGTATGCCAAGAAATCAAGGCTCGATTTGTAGTTCCTTAAGAATTCAGTAGGTCTTCCTGGGGAAAATGCACCTGGTTTTGCCTTTTGGATAGCTGAGAGAACCTCTTTCAGGATTGAATTAGCCAAGAAATCAAATACATGTAGTCCTGAGTTTTCTGAAGGATAAAAGTTAATCGCTTAAGACCCCATCGCAACAATAGCATATTAGTTCATTAAAAGATTGACTATTAAATCTACTGCAAGAGGCATCATCACAAAAGGAGTTGATAAAATGAACGTAAAAAGTACAAGAGCATGAAACAGTTCCCAGTTTTCTTTGACCTCAATAGTCAACCAAAGTCAAAATGCTGATCTTGGAAAGTGCTAATTTTCAAAAGACCAACGCAAATATGCATGGTTTACTGACAAATGATATACTGGAAGAACACGCGTAAAGAACAAGAATAAAACCATCCCAAAGTGGTAATCGGATTCTTTTTAAGCAACATAAAATAACAAGATTGCTGATGGGAATAGAACAGCAAGAAAAGGCAAATAACCTGTAGCAGATATTTCTAACAAAAATTTGCATTCTTTATCAATATATTGCTTCATTTGCTTGTAATCATTCTCCAAATCGTCATCAGATGATCCAGCATCCATGCCAGAAACACCATGTGGAATAACTTTGTGA